TGTCTTTAGGTATTTTAGGAGCGTATACATTTGTATGATAGATAACATATATGCTTCGAAGATGGTTGAGGCGTGCCCGCAGGCAAATCTGTCATCGTGTATGCCAGCGAACGCCGCGTCTTGTTTGTACGGTGTACGAGCGGTGGGACGCGTGCGGCACGGCGTTGGATCGGCTACGTGTCGTCGGCAACTTGACGGGTAAAACATCTGTCCGAGCGAGGAGAAAAATCGGTCGACCGTAACGCGGGAATGGACACTAGTAAGGCGGCGTCAGAGGGCAGACGGGCGCGCCCATACGTGATCCATCAGCACGAGTGTGACGTCACGTTTTCCCCGCAGCGTCTCTTCGAACTGGGATATGGTGGACCTTTTGTCGCGCAAACGCCGCTCTTTTCAAAATATCAGCGTACTATTTAGGAGGTGGACAGTGCACCTCAAAACAAAACTCACCTAGCAACAACAACAACAACAAAACATTGTAGTGATTTTGCTGAAGCTCGCGGACTCGCCGTTTTAACTTCGAATCTCGCTTACAAATAAATTGTTAAAAAAATCGTTATTATTATTTATTTTTATTTATTTTTCTCGCTTTACGTATTTGCAATTACAACTGCGTGCGTACAGGCCCCTTTCCCCATGTTTCACGTTTCGGCCGCCAGGCCGCGTCAGCTTTTCCTGCCAACTCCAATAGGCTGCATGTGGCTCGCCGCTTCGCTCCTTCGCGTCTGTTCCGCTAGGTGGCGTGAAAACTTCGAGTCTCCGGAGATATATATATATTTTTTTGCTTTAAATAAACGTATTCACCACCATCCTCCTCTGATCGAGTTGCGCACACGGTATCCGCGATCAGTGTAGGATTACAGCCTAACCAGGACATGACTCCAGCAATGAAATACTTGTTAACTCTGAGGACGACCGCGTGCTCGTCACGGAAATTCGACGACGGTGCACGAAAAAAGCGGACGACAGACGAGCCAAGCGGCGCGTCGCTTGCGTCACCATGACGCCACTTTACCATAACCAACAGCCGTGTGCGCCGTGTAAGCTCAATAACTGCACGCCTCCACGTGCTTCGTCGTCTGCTCTTGTGCGTAGTTCAAATTATGTATACGTGTCGCTCTTATTACTTTAGTTGCTCTCTGTTCGGTCCCAGTTGGCGGATGTTTGGACGGATTCAGTGGCCTGGTATCGATTACACACGGCAGATGTGCGCTTGCGAGATGGCTGGACTCGGATTTCGACGTTCGTGCTGGGGGAGAGGAGGACCGCTGCAACAACAGTTCTGCAGCCGAGCAGGAATGCGAAGCTGAACTAATACAGACGGCGCAACGACCTCGCTGAAACGTTCTTTGGCTTCGAGAGACAAAAAAAGAAAAGATAAACAAAATGAAACGAACAACGTTACTGACTTGCCGAACTTGATGTTCAAAAGAGTAGCGGCCATAACTGAGCCCACAGCCGCTGAGTGCGTTCTAACGGCGAGCTTCCACTGCGCCTTTTCAACGTGCATACCACACCATCAAGATTGCCAGTCTTATCAGCCTGGAAATGTGAGCTCGTTCTGAGCCTGCGCTATGATCAGCGCATACAAATGTTTTCGCTGGTATGCGGTTGCCTGCCTGCGCTCTCTCTTGGCGCTTGTCTTGTGGGTGCCGTTTGTTACTTTCTTTGGGGCAGACTACACGGTGAATGACAGGTAACCTGGAAAAGACTATACTTCCGAAAATCCCGGCATGCAACACTGCGCGCGTTGCACTATGGGACCTATTTGACCATGGAGAGGAGTGGCATAATTTCGATTTCGATTGCCCTGGTGACGGCATCTCAGCACTGCAGGGAAATTAGGCAGTGATAGGCAGTGAGTATTTCAACGTCCACCGTAAAAAAAAAAAAAAAAAAAAAAAAAAAAAAATATATATATATATATATATATATATATATATATATATATATATATATATATATATATATATATATATATATATATATATATAAAATAAAATATTTCAACGTCTGAGACGTCACTTCCATAAAGAGGTCGAAATAGTGGCTTTATTATTTCGACGGCCCCCGTGAATGCAGCCGTCGCAGTGTGAGCCGTTTCGTGGTTCCGTTCTGTTTAGTCTCTGATGGTGTTGTCGGCATAGTATTGACGGAGTCATGTGTTGCGTGCTTAAGAAGTTTCGGTCTTAGCTGGCAGCGGAAATGTCTTATTCAGCGTGTGGCTGGGACTAGCTCGACAGTTGATCCTTTCGGACGTGACACGCCCGGCGGCGATGCTCTGAGCTCGAACTTCATCTCGGCACGCGTCTCATCTAATATGATGGATCTAAAAGAAAGGCGAGCTGGGGTTTAAAGGAAAGGCGAGCTGGATATCCTGTTGTATATTGCCTGCACGCAACAAAATGTAAATGCGTACACTACTTACGTAACACTGAGAAATTTGCCACGCTTTTTGCCCCTCCATATTTATCGTACGAGCGCGTCTTCGGATATGGTCGCAGTCTCGCTTTGCATCTGGACGCCTCCCTGTTAACGGGGTTTCGTGAGTTCATTGTTTAGTTTACATTTTCAGTTTGGTTCGTGCATAACGAACGGGTTAACTACGAAACGATCGGGATGTTAAATCAAAGCTTGTGAATGTTGCCTCCTCAATGTTTCTTGACCGCTGTGAACGAACAAAGCTTTTGGCGCGGTTGTACGAGATACAAGCAGTTTCCAATACACTGTACATGTTATGACACGAGATTCAGCTTTTTTGTGTATATAAAACATGCGCGATAAATCATGGAAAGCAACGGTGCCGCATTCTGTAATGTTGGGCACAACCAAGCAAACGTTACGTGCGGCCTGAAAGTTGATGTACCGTACGTACTGCTTTCAAAGGTTTATTATTTTTTTTTTTTTTATTTTACATAATTTAAAAGGTCATAAAAACTGCAGTCCACCACACATTTGTTTTCTGAAAATGCGCGTTGAACCGCGACGCCGCCTGCAAGCAAAATATTTGTTGGACCGCTACTTTCGACCACTTTCTAGTCCGAATTCCGAAGCTCCAATGTTCTAACTTTGAGATGTCAACGTAGGGAGAACCAAATATTTTGACGGGGGACGTCAAAATAATTCTGAAAATATTTTTAGGTCTTCGGGAAATGGCGTCGCAGACGTCAAAATAAAATCTAAATTTTCTTCGAAAGCGTACGTCGAAATAGTCACTAACTAAACATTAAAAAGTCAGGGCTCGCTCGCAACGGGCCCATTCATCTTCGTTAGAGCCCCCGTTGAAACGCGAGCATCCAGCGGCCGTAAGGAGCTGCTTGGACTTCGCGAGGAGTGCGAATACGGCCGGCCGGCGTCTCACACCTTTCTGGCGGTCTCCTGGGTACCACCCCAGAGATGACCCTCCCGGCTCACGGATAATCTAGAAGCCCGTTGAGGAGAAGATGGAACAGGACGGCCGGCCCGGTATATTTCTTCTACGTGCTTTCGTACTCCTGTCTACACGCGCACAAACCGTGGCACGTCGGAAAAAACGTGCCCCAGCATTCTATCCGGATTGGTAGGCAACACGTATACAACACAGTTTTTTTTTTTTTGTAAGCTTAAAAGATTTGTTTAAAAAGAGCCGTGAAAGCTACGTGAAAGATAACCGTGCAAGTGAGCCGTGAAAGCTATGCTTTCACGGCTCACCTGCACGGTTACCTTTCACGTAGCTGCACGGTTTGTGCAGGAGAGTTATACGACCAGGGGGACATAGTATAGGGGGCTAATCGTAATGATCAGTTGGCTAGCTAAGTAAAATTTGTTAATTCACTTTTTAATAAGTGGAAATGAACATATGGATCCGGTTAAAAACTTGCTGAGCGTCATCGGAAACTACTAAATCGACTCTTTTTAGAAAGACGTGAGGCAGCTAGGGGTAGTATTTGACGGCGTTCCGCAGAAACTCTCAATTTGGACGCGTTTCTAGGTTTCGGTTTCTTATCGGAGCGCATCCCTGCGCCCGCGGTCCTTCCCCGCAGTGGCCGAGAGGCGCAACGCACGTGCGCCGTACTTTCCTCCTCTCCATCCTCCGAGGGAGGCGAGGCGGTGGCTTCGCGCCGCGACCACCAGGGAGCAGGACCACGGGCGCAAAGATGCGCTCCGATAAGAACCCGAAATCTAGAAACGCGTCCAGACGCGTCCAGTTTTTTAGAACTTCGTGAAATGCTACCCCTGCCTTTTATCTTTTTTTAAAAATAGCTCACTTAATGGCTTCAGATGACGCTCAGCAAGTTTTTAATCGCAACGATATGTCTATTTTCCTAATTCAAAATAATTAACAACTTTTAATTAATTAGCTGACTGATCATTATGATCAGCCTCCTATACTATGTCCCCCTGGCTGTATAAGTCACCTGCACAAACCGCGTAAGTGCAGCTTTCACGACCTTTTCTAAACAAATCTGTCAAAAAAAAAAAAAAAAAAAAAAAAAACATTTTGTAAGGGAGTCACATATTCGAAAATGCAAGCGCTGCATTTGGTCGTGACGGGATGTCATGAATGAAGTGTGGTTGACAAATCGAAATCGAAAGTTTGGCTAAGGGGTACCGAAGATGAATTGCACCGCACGACACTGATTATGCAAAAAAAAAAAAAAAAACAAAAAAAAAAACAAAAAAAACGCGACTTTTATTAACAGAAATGCGCGACGCAGAGAAACGACGTCAGTGGCGCATCACATGACGCAACGGTTGACGATATGCGAATAGCAACTCCCTTGTGTTATGGGGGCAGTACACCTTGGCACCCCGACGGGTTACAAGAAGTTTCATGGTGCGAAATGAAAGCTAATTCAACTAACGCCAGCAAAGAAGAAAAAAAAATTGTAGATTGTTTGTGACTTACACCACTAACTTTCTGTTCACCTTTATTCGCCACTTTTTCAACAGCTATTTTGAATTTAGAGATAAGCCTGGCTGGGGAAACAACTTTGCACCACGTCCTTTGCTGTGTTCAGGTCTGCTGGGCGTCCATGAGTTCCTGCTGATGATGGCGGACACGCTGACCGAGACCACCCACTGGGGCAGCCTCAAGACGGACGTGGCCGGCTACGTGGGCATCGACACGCTCCAGGAGCAGATCCGCAAGAAGGTGCTCCGCAGGGGCTTCGAGTTCAACATCGTCGTGGTCGGTGAGTGGCGCCATCCGTGACCACTCCCAAACACAGTCTACGACGCTGCAGCAGGAAGGACGTGCAAGTGAGCCTCCTGGAAATCTCCTCGCGACCCATGGACTACAGTACATGGACCATATCTAAAATCGCCTTCTGCGCTCCGCCATCTTTGTCTACTGGGGCATTCTGGGCATGCGCAAGACCTCTCTCTCTCTCTCTCTCTGGCTGAATATGAGACGCTGTGCAGCCCAGTGACCTTTTTCGTTTGCGTGATAAGTGCTCGAGGAACCTTCAGAAAACATGAGAGTGGCAGCCCACGTTTTCCCCAGAGACTTTCTTTCTCTGGGCTCCAGAAGTTGCACAAGTCGGAGGCAGCATCTTGCTTCCCGCTCTTTCAACGGCGCCGCATGATCTGGCGAATGTTGCCTGTTATAATGTGCACCGCTTATTGGTTCTAATTACTAGGTGAAGGTAGTGACTCATGTTTCCTGAAGGTTGTGGCAGCTGCGGCCTTGTGGTGAGAGTTAGTAACAGTTTATAGTTAAAGGTAGCGTTTGAAACCGAGTTCCAGTGACGAGGTTAATTAGTAGGCATTGTCAGGGGCCTATGCCTTCTGCATTAGGCGTAGTTGCACAAGGCGCGCGTCTTAAAAGGCCACTGAAAATAAACATTTTTTTTTTAACAGTGTGGTCGGGAGACGCGTGCCAAAAATAAATTTTACGCGAAAATAAAAAAAGAAAATAAATTAGACCAACATTGACGGTGCGAGACGCGATTTAGTCGGTAGTCACCTCCTTTCCACTTGTTTCCTCTCTTGGCATTTCGGGCGCGTGGAGGAGAGGTGGATCGGCTTGGCCATCACGTTCTGGTGGAGAGTGTATGACCATCTCGAGGTGGAAAGCGTGTATGACCATTCCGTGACGTCATGGACTTTGCGCGCAGAATTTAATACAAATCTTGTTCTAGAAAACGTAAAAATCATTTCTCGGTACGCGTGTCCCAAACACTGTTAGAAAAGAAAAAAAAAAAAAATAGTGGCCTTGTAAAGGGGTATGGAAGCGGAATTTTAGCGCCTGTTTCTTTGTGTTGACGTGGTCTTTCACGTGACAGCAGTACAGAAACACGTTTTTCGTTTGTAAGCGCGAGAAAAGCAATTTTAAAACGAATATGACGGTTTCTCAATACCACCTGGTGGTTGGGGGGTCGAACTTCGTTGGAACGTCCGACGTCACGAACCCATTAGAAGCAGCGCCACGGCGCGGCGGTGTCCGATGGAGGCGCCCGGGAGCAAGCGGCGCTTGGCACATCTCTCAGTTCTAGTAGTTCTAAACTTCTAGTACGCCGTACCTCGGGTATTCCCACTTGGCAGGATTGGGACGCGTTGACGCAGAGCCATGGCTCTGCGTTGGCGATAAAGCTGGCGCCACCAAGTGGGTCCGTAACGTTGCGAGCGTGACGTCAAGCGGCAAATATCCCGAGATGCATCGCGCCGCATCGATGGCCGATTTTGAAGCGCTCGCCATAATCCATCGGTTGGAAAAAAAACTATAGCCATCCGCTGAAAATACAAGCGTGCGATTATCATTTAAGCATATCACGGATCCTATTTCACTCGTTTCGAAACGTTTTTGGGAAATTGATTGGTTCAGCGATGATCGAACACTAGTGATGGGACGAATCTTTATCCGAATCGAGATTCGGAGCCGAATCTGAAGATTCGGAAAGATTCAGAAGAGTAGCCGAATCTCAAGCGATTCGGAAAAGTTCGGAAAGATTCGGAGCGTTGCCATGGTTGCCAGATCACGTTGATAAGTGTTTCAACTTTTCGTGATATTAAATTCACTAAATTCTGCAAACTGCACAAAATAATATGGTAATATAATATCATAGTAATAAATAATATGTACCGCTTTGTTTATATTATTTCGGATGTTTGCCGAGAAAGCTAGCCAGACATCGCGGGAAAATTGGTTTCGGTTCCGGATTACGACAAAAATTGGCATGCCTGGTGCTCGTGGAAATACAAGCGCATGTTTTCATCGCCGCAAGAAATCGATGCCTTACGTGCTGTTTGGCACAGGCTGATTTCGTGCTCATAATTACGGTCATGGTGGCACACACCACACAAGTGAGTACGTTCGATTCGATTATCTTCAACGCGCGTACTATTACAGTCTTTCTGGTTAATGATATCCGATTGAGTTAGTGTTTGTTTCCGAACAATAAAGTTGCGTTGGACACCCCTGTGTTGGGTTTCGTTTTTATCAAGTAAAGTTCACGTACACAAAACTTACTGCCGAGATCAGAGAAACGGCAGTGCGAAGTTTCTCTTCGCTACCGGTGCCGGTACGTGGTCGAAGTTGTAACGAGCAACATTCGTCTGGCTCTCGCGCCTTAGAGGTACGGACGTACGCAGCTCTAGAGAAGGAGACGAATCATTTCCTGGCTCGAATATATTTATTGTGCGTTGCGCCACATTATGTGTAATACATAGCATTTCGCTATATTTTACCGATCACCGCAAAAACCGCACAGCAACCGAGACCATTCATTGGTTAGGCCTACGTCAACCACACCGATCAGCTCAGCTGGACCTGGGCGCGTGCCAAGGTTTAGAATGACAGTACAGTACAAACCATAAGTTGAAATAAACAAGACGAAATCGGGTTACATGCAGTAACAGTACTTGGAAAACAGAACTGACCGCACTCGGGAGGTTTACGACTAGGCTCACGCTGCCATCTGCAACCAGCGACGAATGTGACCAATCTCCGAATCTGCCGAATATTCGTCGCGGGAAGTTCGGAAATTTCCGAATCTAGGCGAATCCGAATCTCCGGTGATTCATCCCATCACTATCGAACACCATCAGAGACAAGGATGGTGCGCCTTTGACGCTGTTCGATTGGTGCCATCAGCTCGTGGCGTCAGCTGCCCGTGCATGGTGAAACGAAGTATACGACCTTCTTTGTAAGACGGTGTGCGTCACGCTTTAAAAATTTGCATTTCGCGAACCTGCCAAGACGCGTGGCGGGGTCGCGGAAACCGAGTGCTTCACACCGGTCATTACGCCACTCTTCTTCGAGGCGCGAAGATAAAAGCGATAAAAGAAACACTAACCGGTAATCGTCGTCGCATTCCGAGCTCAACTCCGTTTCACCCCTGACAGTATACGGCAAGAGCTAAGCGCTCGCCGGACCGAACCAACCGCCTCCCTTTGACTGCCTGACCACCCGGCTTGAATATGGGCGGGATCACGTGGGGCGAAAGGTGGACGTGTCATTGGTCTAACTGGAACGTAGCTTCCAGCGCACTGTCAGCTTAGGGGGGAACGTGCGCCATGTGAGGAGGCGGAGTAGACCTACTTCCAAGAAACACCTTTGCGGCGTTTTGCCTGTCTCTCTGCAAAACTGGAAAGGAGCGATGACTAAGCTTCTCTCTGATGATCTTCGAAGTACAAGGCAAACTATATATATATATATATATATATATATATATATATATATACAACACGGGCACTTCACACCATCGTACGTGGTCTCCGAGGAGGATATAAATGAATTTGTGCAGATGAATGAACCGTACTTAATCCAACGAATTAAAGAATCCAAGTTTTCAGGAACCCGCCGTTTTTTGGCTTCGGCGGGTTCCTGAAAACTTGGATTCTTTAATTCATTGGATTAAGTACGGTTCATTCATCTGCATATATATATATATATATATATATATATATAAAACGCTGCTAAACAATTGCTGAAACTATGAGATGCCGAGAGGCCCTTCAAATGCTTTCTCACTTGCCTGCTTTCCCGTTATTGGCGAGGTCGAAGTCGCGCTGTACTGGCCAAATTAGCGGTTTTTTTCCCGCTGTTGTCCATTGTCGGAACCTTTACTCTACAAAGATTATACGACACTAAAAGTACCTGGAACTGCGACAGAAATTAACCTCGAGCTGATTATCGGAAAGACCCTAGAAACTGTCGCTAACAAAACAACCTTGACCTTCTTTTTTTCTTTTTATAGCTTTGTACATTTGTTGCGGCTGGACGTAAAACGTGAAACGAAGTCCTGGGCCACCACCTCTTTTTTGCAAAATGAAGAGTGCAAAGCGTAAAACCAAAGGGGGTCAGTTACGAAGAACCGCTCTTCTCTCGAGCAGGGAGGAGCGGCCTGGGGAAGTCGACGCTGATCAACACGCTGTTCAAGGCCAACATCAGCAGGAGGACGTCTTCCAAGAAGGGCCAGGAGGCCAGCGAACCCGTGCCGTACGTCGTCCCCAAGACCACCGAGGTCAAGTCCATAAGCCACGGTGAGCCAGGATCAGATGTCCTTCCCATCGTCCGTGTACGTACAGTCTCTGCGCCAGGGCTGCGACAGCCTCATGGTCGCTTTTCCGCAAAGTCGCCATTTCCGTTTCTGATGGCTTCAATCCGCGCAATAAAATTTGTTAAAAAAAAAAAAAAGTAGCTTTTCTATTGCAACAGCGATCTTTTAGAACGTAAAGTAAAATAAAAGTCTCATCGACGTATTTTTACTCCGTATTGGTAAAACTCCGCTGCGCTGGTGCTGGCGGCGATTCTTAGAAGTCAGTGCACGCTGCAACATAAGCTGGCGTGGGGGTCATCAATCGGATGTAACAAACGCAAATAAAAAAACATAAAAAAAAAGGAACAAGAAATCGGAGCTGTAAATGAAGCAAGGGAGAGAAAACAATCGGTCTGCGATGTCAAGGTAGGCTTTACAACACCTACGGGTACGCCGCTGTCATGCAGGGAAGCCGATGTCGCGTCACATCACTCCATTGTGGTGTGACGCCCGGAAAGCTAACATACCCCCGAATTTCTGGAACATGCTTCCTTATAATCTGCACAAACTAAAAAATAAATAAAATAAAGTGTCCAATTTTAGAGGGGAAACAGAACAGTATAATAATTCTATCTCTAGTGGTTTGATCAATTAAAATCATTTAAAAAAATACCCACTTCAAATATAAAAAAACGCAGTATGAACCCTTTATATTGCTTCAAAACTCGGTAAACACGAAATTTGATGAAACGGACCCGAGCAATTCCATAAAATGGCGTTCGATAAAACGGCGTTCGATGAAATGTCCACTTATTTGATGAAGCGGCATTCGATGAAAGGTCCGGTACCTATATTTCTCGCTGCAAAAAAGAACTACCCGTAGAGTTCCGAGAGAACGCCCACCCCCGAGAAATCGCCCATCCCGTTTTTCTGCCTAAATGTATCTGTAACAAATATTCCTAAACATCGCCCATTCCCCGATTCCCGTCGAACGTCACGCGATGTCTGACGGGAATCGCAACAACCACGCAATTTGCAGTACCGGCACGTCTGACAAGCGAGTTCATAGCGGGTTCCCGCGTTTATGTCCGCGATCTGCGCGCGCGATATTGGATCTCGTAACACGCGAGTTGTTCCCGCGTGTACGTTGTACCGTGAAATGCAAACTGCTGCGTCCACAACTTGCGGTATCCGTTCCCGCAACAAGGTTTGTAGCGGATTCCCGCGTTTTCGTACGCGATCTCGATTTTACGCGAGTCGGTGCCCCGCGTGTATATTGCTGCGCTCGCGATCTCCGGTATTTGTTCCCGTAACATAAGAGTTTGTAGCGAATTCCCGCGTTTTTGTCCGCGATATCAGTTCCGTTGACAGGACAGGGAAGTTTGTAGCGGGTTCTCGCCTATTTATTGCACCATAAAGCTTGAACTGCTGCGCCCGCGATTTGCGGTTATTCGTTCCCGTGAGATGCGAGCTCTCGGCGGGTTTCCGCGGGTCCTTCGCACCATAAAACGCGAATCTGCTGCATTCGCAACCTGCGGTAACGTTTCCCGTGACACATGAGTTCGCAGCGAATTCCCGCGTGTTTATCGCATCCTGAAACGCGAATTTGCGGTGTCCGCGATCTGCGGTATTCAATTCCCGCGTCACATGGTCTGCCCCTGTGCCAGGGTGTCGATCATTAATTTTTGATAAAGTTTTGCTGTGGTATCCTCAAAGATAGCCCACCCCATGTTTTTTACCTTTTATCTCATTTTGGGTGGGCGTTCTTTCGGAACTTTACTATGCATCGTTGAAATCTCATTCTACACACAAATGTAGCGCTTGCAGTCGGAACCAGATGGCCCATTCGTGCTGCGCTGCTCTTCTTTCGATGCAAAGACGATATGCTCACTAAAATTTGACTAAATATTTAGTTTCACTAGCCAAGTTTGTTCTCCAGCCTATCGATTAACTTTCGCACCCAAAATAAATTATTATTTGCACGTGATTGATTGCCCCTTTCTGACATGTTTTTGGGTTTTTCTCATTCCCCACCCTGTGTTGGGTGGTTTAAGAAAACAAGCTCGTCAGAAACGCACACAAAAAAAGGTTAATTGCAAAATCGGTTACTCACTCGCTTTTCTGACTCTCCTCCGTTTTCTATTCTTCTAGTCATCGAAGAGAAAGGAACGCGTCTACGACTCACGGTCACCGACACGCCCGGATTTGGAGACCAGGTCAACAATGAAAACTGGCAAGTTTATTGCTTCTTGGTGATCGAGGTAACTGCTCTCACGTGACGTCACAATCGTAGTGCTGTTTCTATTGAATCGGCATCAATATATATAGCTACCCTCCATTTTCACAACGACCTTCAAGATGGCCGCCTAATGTACTCTTTGAAAGCCCCAATATGCAGGAGGGGTGCCACCATTTTACTTTCTCCCTTCCATTGTCCAATAACATGGCTACCAGTTTTCATGTTGTCTTTGTAGACTTTAGATCCTTCCAGTCATTGTCATCGGATTTGTTTGTGGAAAAGAGTCGGGAAATGTGCAGTGGAATGAGCTGTACCTATCAAACAGGTCACCGGTAAGGAGAGGACCAGAAGCTTTAATTCCAACTCCGCCAAATTGTCGTTCAACGGCTTTCTAACCTTTGATCAGTTTGATTCATTCATCCAAACCTTTTGACTGATTCAATACTTCATATAGTTAGTTATCTCGGCAGATCCCAACGCTGCATGCCCAAATCAGCAACATGAAAAGTGTACATTCACACTCGAAATAATGCTAAATGCTTGGCCTAATTAGTCCATTTTTTCTTTGTCAATCTGGTTTGAATCTGCTGCAAAACAGTAATGGTTACAAGAAATTCGATTACTTCCAAGAGTAATAAGACTGCTCTTACAGTTACTACCTAATAAAAGTAATCAAATGGTCATAAAATTACTCCAAAACATAACTGATTACAGGTAATTTGATTAGTTGCAATGAGCGCCGTACACCGCGCACAACACTGTTAATGCAAACAAGCATTGCCAGTTTTGCCTGTCTCCTTTTAGAATTAGTAAATGGCTGCCATAAAAACTACTGGTATGGTGGAAAGCCTCCACTGAGGGCTGTCACCTAAGCGGTAGATTTCGGTGTCAGTTAGTATTGTAAGAAAAAAGCGAAAAGGCCCCGACGTCGTGCTTGCGCTAACAGCGCTGCGCAGTGTACAAGTCTGGCGGGTTAGAACGCTGATCACACCGTGTGAAAACACTTTCCGGGCACTGTACCGACACATTAACTGCTAGCTTCTTCCGGTGGTTCCTTCTCAAACACGGTGTGTAAAGGTGGATGTGCACATTGGAACAGGAATGCATGTTCCCTTGCAGCTGGCTGCCCATCCTGGAGTACATCAACGAACAGTACGAGAAGTACCTGAGTGAAGAGCAGAGCGTCACTCGCAAGAAGCACATCCCAGACACCAGGGTTCACTGCTGCCTCTATTTCGTCCCGCCTTCGGGGCATTCGTGAGCGCCTTCGCTTTTTTCTCTAATTTTATTTTTAAAAAAAATATTTTTTTTTGTTGGACCTAAGGTGTACTTGGTAAGGGCTCACAGCAGAGGACCCCTTCATCTTGGTTGTAATTCTGCAGTTTGTTGTAGTTTGAATCACAGGGTTCTGAGGTGCCTTTGTAATAATATGGACAATATTAAAAGAACTTCTAGCATAAAAAAAAAAAGGAAAGAAAAAAGAATTCAAATGAAAGCATAAATTACACATGGACAAAGACAGATATGTAACATGCCTTTACATGTGTGTATCTATCCCCAAGTATTCTACAGTCGTTGGCGGTCTTCAGTGAATGCATTGGCATCTATGATATCTATGCCAAGGCCTTTGCTGAAATTCTAAATGAAAAATTGCTTTAAAAAACTAAGGCGATCCTTTAATCGACTACATGTCTAGTATGCAGAATGCATTAGCGATACATAAGCAAATCTGGGCAGCATGACGCAATATTACGACCTTGCATGGCGCTGCGCCACGTGACGCGGAGTCACATTACCCCTACACCGTAACTCGTCATCCAACAAGACAAGATTTTAATGACATTTTAAGACGCGACGTCGCGTGAAAAGTTTGCACCGTGAGTCACGTGACCCGTAGTGGTGATGTACCTTAGTGGCACCACCCACGTCACCCACAGCAGGACATTAGCCTGCTTAACTTAGCTGACGATGGCAGGGCACAGTAACACGACACAAACACCTTCTTTGCTTCTGTTAAAATGCATTCATAAATCTCCTCAATGCAAGCCGGGTAGTACATGCTGTTTTCCGTTAATATCCGTTTGTCAGCATTCTTCTCTCGAGATGGTCGGTCATGTGGGCCCCAAAGTGAGGTTCCAGTGCAATTGCAATTACCCCTCGGGCACCTGCGAACCAATCTCGCTTTGTACGTAGGCTGACGCCCCTGGACGTGGAGTTCATGAAGCGCCTGGACAAGTGCGTCAACATCGTGCCGGTCATCGCAAAGGCGGACACGCTCACCATTGAAGAGAGGAACAACTTCAAGCAAAAGGCGAGTGGAAACTGCCGAGGAATCCAGCCTTGGGGAATAGTTTGGGTACCTTGTTTATTCGCGGTGAGAAGCTCGCGAGGTGCGCTGCTGTTTTCCCCACTATGGTTAGCGCACGTGCTACCCACGCGGTTATGTATCCATTTTCATAGTGAATAGAAGCTTGGAATTGCACGTGCTTGCACCGACAGAGGAAGTTGCTCCTCTGCCGCTCCTCACTCTGGGTTGGGAAAAAATTCCACCAGGCGGGGATACCCAAACTTCTCACCGCAAATACTTGCAATGATGTGATTGGGCCGAATCATTTTGGAGCACCTTTTCTTTTGAGCAGGAAAAGTACTTTTGGAGCACATGCACACACATGCGTTTCTATCCATACCACTGTGAATACTGCATGTTAAGATTCTTGTGTTGGCCTATCCAACTAAAAGACGTGCCTACTTTACCTTCTCACTTCTGTGCAACCTTTTGTTGGCATCAACTGCACGGCAGGTTTGATTCCCTCAAACACAAAATAAGCTGATTGGTGGCACATAAAAACACTAGGCATGGCAACAAGATGCTGATTGATGAGGAACAGTATAGATTACTGTGAATAGTTATTGTAGGTATGAAATGAAATGTAAAACAGATGGTATATATTCCTTTGAAATAGTGTTCGAATAGAGTGATCTTGAGTCCACAGATTCATGTTTCATTCAACTTCTAAAGGTCGTAATAAAATTAAAATTCTTAATTCAGATTAAAAAAACTTTTGTCATTAGATCATGAACATAAATGACGTTTTATACGTACAACTTCATGATAACAAAAATCGACATGCAAATGATAAATTAAAAAAAAAAAAAATCCAGCCAAACCGGTTAAGGTCATTCCCAACCTTCCTTCCACCGGTTCATCTAATTTAGTTTTAATTAATATAATTGACTGTATTTTGAACACATAATAGCTATATGAAGATGGTAACTAAACAAGATAGTTCAAATTGAGAATAGACCTCGAGACCTATTTCACAAGGGCGCCACCATCTTGAAATATCATCACTTCCAGTATGGGCGGAATCACTGTTTTGCTGTCGCCACGCCAATAGAATACATTTAGGATATGAGCGCAACCACCACCCATTCTCGTTTTGTCTCCCCTTCACGTTTCACTTATTGCAGGCTGAAATGTTTCATTATTTTTTCGTCGCCCATACCAGATATGTCTATTATGTGGCTGAGGACAAGAGTAAGCGAAAAACGTCCATAGAGCTGTTGATATAAAGTTTCTTGCAAGTGCCCTTGCTAACTATACAATTCGGAAAAAAGATATCGCCAGAACACCGCAGTGTATTATAAACATTAGCAGCAGTGTTGTTCGGAAATTTTTACTGCAAAATTAGCACTCACCAAGTTTTCCCCTTTTCCTTTTTAATGTAGCAGACACCTTCGTGTTTAACATGTCCCGCTTTGGGGGAGTGCCTTCCTCTTAGCACAAGGGAACACTGCGGCGAAGCAGGATAAGCAAAATCGCGATGCTTACTTCGTGGTTGTTTCACAGCAGTATGCAAGTGCGCGGTGAGAAGTGCATTCAACAAAGCTGACTTACCCGCCAGGGCAGACTGCGAACACAACTTGATATTGTGGAAATTCCGAGTACTGTCAGTGTTTGAAAGACAGATAAAATCGAATAGTATGTTATTCCCGGCAATAATCGTAAGTTCTGAAAAGTTGCACAAACGTACCGTAACGATCCGGACGTGTAGGGGGCCTCTCAGCTATTATATATTCAGTATTAATTAAGTGAAATCAAGTTTTGGTGCAATGTTGGCACAGAATTTTCACATTTTGGCTAAATGTAGCAGGGTAAGCCCTTTGGCACAGTTTCGTGCAGATGGCGCCGCAATCATATCACTGTACTTAACATAGTAGTTTGGAGTGCCTGCTTTAAGTAGTACTTTTGGTGTTGGGTTTACTTTGTGCGTGAACAGTTCACATATCATGATTTGTAGCTGCTCTGATACCAATATCAAGTTCTTGTTTTTTCTTTTGCAAAGTAATGCTGGCAAATATTGTTGCATTAATGTCCGATAGAAAATCGACTGAGAAAGTGCTTGTAATTCATCTTGAAAGCACAGAGTGGAACAGTGGCATAGCCAGGGCTTCAGCCTCCCACTGAAATCCAGCCGACCCTACAGCATACACATTCATTTTAAATCCCCCTCCCCCCTCCCTTTCCTGCTGAAAAAAAGAAAAATCCTGGCTACACCACTATAGTGCAATGCAGCACGAACAGGTGCCATCTTCTGGGACATAATTGGTAGATGTTGAAAGCTGAAGGGCCCAAAGAGATGCAAAATAAGGAGAACTAAACCAAAAGGCATTTATCTGCCCATCTGTTGAAACAAATTTAGCCGGTCTTACTTTACCGTTACTTTACCCAACGCTAAACGGAGTGGAGGCCGTTGAGTCAACAGAGACCCCTTCACTGCAGATCAGAGAAGACCTGGCAAGGAACGGCATCTGCGTCTACCCCGTGCAGGAGTTTGAGGACGACCCGGAAGAGACCATCCTTAACAACAAGATCAGGGTAGGCTTTCCGTCACCCGCTCCCTTTCTACTTCCGTAGACAACTATGGTAGAAAACTTAGGGGGCTTCTCTTTGACATCGAGTTCACTGCCGACGTTAGGTTTGCACAAGCATACTGTTTCACACTTGGTGTACAGTGCTGTCAAAGCTGCTGGCATGAGCTCGTGGCTCGATCTTGCAGTTCATTTGCACGTCTTGCAAGTGACACGCCGCCATGAAATACCCGAGAGCAGCGGCGTAGACTTTCCATTTTCCCGGGGCGGGGGGGTGTTGCGCGTTACCTTTTCGCCGGAACTGGAGATTGAAGCTAACGAAAGCATGCTGGGATTCCATTTCCTATGTATTCTGTCAATAAAGGCATTGTGGGCGTTATTTTGTTTACATGCCACTACTAGAAGCTCGTTACATGGCCCATAAACAGTGTCTCGGTAAGGATCATGGCTCGGGCCAGGTTGAGGCTCTGCCCCGCCCCCCCCAAATCTCAACGGGGGGGGGGGGGGGGGGCACGAGCCCCGATACCCCCCCGAAGTCCACGCCTATACCCGAGTGTTCGCCCATTCCACAATAAGCGGTCACCCCTCAGTTTTCTAACATTGGGAACATACAGGAACGACATATCTTTACATATTGTTGACCTAATTCATCCCCCAGATTTGCACGATTATCTCTAAATTTGGAGTTTGCGGTCTCTCGGGATTTTACAGTAGGCGAATTCCACGCTCTCGTACAACAGCTTTGAACATCCAGTGTACAGGGTAATATTTTTAACGAAAACTGAATTTTAATAAAACTATGCAAACTGGTAGCTGAATGCCAACATCTCCAGGCGTTTCTTCAGTTTGGCGGACATCATCCGAAGGAATAGCCGTATTAGTAAGTTGGCTAATTAACTAAAATCTGTTAACATTCAAATTATTGGTTTTACGGGTCACGTTGCAATTGCAGAATTGAGAGCAATTGCTATTAGAGGCTAGACCATTTAAAAGAATTTGCAAAAGGTTATTTGCGTTTGTGATACAAATTATTAAATTGTTACGTTTTTAAACCAGACTTAGAAGCTGCATACAATTTTCAAATGAGGCTATAAAAAAACATGAAAATTTATTAATATCTCGGACTAATACACTTTTGCGTGTTCATTAATTGGTCTTGCCTGCGATAGAAATTGCTGCCCTTTCCACGCCACTCCCGCCGTGCACTGGCAAGTTTGTGGCCAGTGTAACGCATTTGAAGGCAACAAGAACGACGGAAGTTCCTGTTGGTAAGCCCAGTAGAAGGAATGGCAATCTGGGCTAGTTGGTTCATGATAACTTTCAGGGCGCCGAAAATACACAAGGACAAGATACAAGAAAGGAGACGTGAACAACGTCTCCTTTCTTGTATCTTGTCCTTGTGTATTTTCGGCGCCCTGAAAGTTATCATGAACCAACTAGCCCAGATTGCCATTCTAATGCAGTACATTTCTTTTACATCGGGCTCTGTTCTATGTAGCGCCTTGTTCACGTCTCCTTTCTTGTATCTTGTCCTTGTGTATTTTCGGCGCCCTGAAAGTTATCATGAACCAACTAGCCCAGATTGCCATTCTAATGCAGTACATTTCTTTTACATCGGGCTCTGTTCTATGTAGCGCCTTGTTCACGTCTCCTTTCTTGTATCTTGTCCTTGTGTATTTTCGGCGCCCTGAAAGTTACCAGTAGAAGGACGTTGCTCACTGCGTGTTTCCGGCCTCGCAGGCTGCCATCCCGTTCGCGGTGGTGGGCAGCGACAAGCAGCACACGGTCAACGGGCGCACGGTGTTCGGGAGGCAGACGCAGTGGGGGCTGGTGGAGGTGGAGAACAGGATGCACTGCGAGTTCCCGGACCTCAGGGACATGCTCATCCGGTGAGGACTTGGAGGGACAACGTTATTCGTTGCGTCGAAGCCGGGCCATTCCCAAAATTTGAGCTCGGGACTGTGCGTCGACGCGAGTTAGGGTGAAGAAAGTAAAACGATAGGAAAATAGTTTTACTCAATCGGTGCCACCAATGGTGTACCGGCAGAAACGGAGAGATAGAGAGGAGACGAGTGGGGGGGGGGGGGGGGGTCGAAACATTTGAGCTTTGATTGGAACGATTGGTGGGTAGACCAAAAGCTAGCCATCTCCGTCTCCACTCGCCGTTTGAATGCGAATGCCAGACGCCTGCGCTTAAACAGAGTAGAGGCAAAGGTGGCTAGCTTCGAGTCTACTCACTAACCGTACCAATCTGTCCGCATGCTCTCGTCTCCCCCTCTCCCCCAGTTTCTAACTGCATAACCTAGAGGCACTAAATATGAAAAACCTGGAGGCACTCCTTTGCCCCGATTGTCCTGCAGGTGCCGCCGCTTTGTTGACAAAGTGCAGGTCAGGTGCAACTGGCAATACTAAAATGTGACTTCTTAGAGATAAACTAGGGTGCAAAAGCAGCGAGACTGTAGTAACGCCCGCTCGTTGTATGGAACAGGGCTGTTTGATTGCCGGTTATAAATGACGGAGTGTGCCAACTGACTGGAGCAAGTGCAGCACCCTACAGCCGTGTGAACGACTATAGAGGTTGTGTTTTTTGTAAGGCTTTACGGATATGGATGGATTAGAAGCTACTCAATGTGGTCTGTGCAGGAGTGTTATACGGCCAGGGGGATGTAATATACGGGGCAAATTCTCATGGTAAGTGAAATAACTAAAATTATTTTTAAATAATTTAAGATAAACAGCTAGTTCCAATTAGAAACATGCCGAACGTCATCGAAAGCCACTAAATTTGTAAATTTGAGAAAAATAGAGCGCATGGGAAGCGTGGTATATAGTATGCTGGGGTTGCGTGCACAAAAGGGGCAAGGCTCGCGGTGCAAAAATGTGGATGTAGAAAAACTGTGCAGACGCGTTACTTTTCGCACCGCTAGCCTCACACCTTTCGCACGAGTGGCAACTTTAGCACACCAATGCACCTCCCACGCACCATCTCTCTAAAATCGATTTAGTGCTTTTCGATGACACACAGCAAGTTTCTAAAGGGGTCAAATGCTTATCTTCACGAATTAACAAATTTGAGCTAACCAAATTATTGCGACGAGTAGCCCCCTTGTTATGTACCCCCGGCTGTATAACTTGCCTGCAGAGACTGCACTAGTGTAGCTTTCGTGTCTTTCTTAAAAACACTCTTGCAAAACCTTAAAAAAAAAAAAAAAAAAAATGTTTAGTTACAATGGCAAGCACACACCCAGAATGTCTCGCAGATCAGATTTCGAACACACTGCCGGATAGCGTATGGAAGGGATGAGAGGTGAAGGGGGAACTGTAGTGACAAGGGCGATTCCGTCCCTCAGATACGGAGCGAGGTTTCAGCACCTCGCTCGATGCACGAGATGCGTGTCCTAACGGCCAGCCGTCGGTCTGCTCCCAGGACCCACATGCAGGACCTCGTGGAGGTGACCAAGACTGTGCACTACGAGAACTTCCGCCACGAGCGGCTACAGGCGCGCAACGGACACCTCAATGGACAAGCCATCAACATCGTCAACTTGAACGAAAGCAGCCTTTGAACGTTGTGTAGCCGTCTACGCGGTTCTTTTCCTTCCGTCGACATCCAAGGGAGTCTACGCTGGGGCGACAAAGACGAAATGCGAGAAGTGGTACTACGACAAAAGCCCGTGCAAGGGCGGCACAACCTCGCGAGAATTAAATAAGCCCAAAGGGCAAACAAATACAAGAGTTAACGAGATCTCGTGTACACCTTTGGATCTTTCCATTCGTTTCTATTCCCCATGGACTGTCACTTTCATATCAGTTGCACATGGCCAGGACGTATGCACCACATTGCGACGCCCAAAAAGTAAAACAAAAAATAATGCAGAGACTATAATTACATTGGAGATGTCAAACACCTTGTTTTAAGTAATGGGCTAGCACACTGTGCAACACGTGAAAATTTTTCTGCAGTCTTGCCACAATCTCGTATCACCTCGCTCGCATTTTTCCTCGTCGCACTAGTGGAAGTGTACGTTGCAACATATCAGCCGTGCTCAACACCACCTAACCGTAAGAAAAGTCTTTGTCGTCGTGTTTGTTCGACAGCCATAACCCAACGTCTTCCTCTTCGATAGTAAAGCTAGCAAATATTGTGGTCACTTTCATCCAGTGCATTTGCGTCTAGTCACCGTTCCGAAGAAGAGATCCCCCGCCTTCCGCGGGCGCTGTCGCCGTTGCCAGTCGCGCGGCACTTCCAACGCTTAAAGAATCACACGTGCACACGCTCCAACGTCAACAAAGAATAAATTTATTTAAAAGGTCGTGTTGCTTGTTTTGTTCTGGTTTTCTTTTTTCCTGCACATTTTTTCTCATGACCAAGATAGAAAAAAAGCCACGCACACGAAGGAAAAAAAAAAGACAACGAAATATGAAAAAAAAAAAAAGACAAACACCCACACTTCGTATTTTTTTCTCTACTACAACTTTTCGCACAAAACGGGCGGTGGTCGATCGCTCGATGTGGTGGGAGGGAAGAGAGGGAATTCACGACGATGACAACTATCAGCTACAAGAACTCCGCTGGGATCGAGAGGAAAAAAAAATAAATGACAAAACGAAGGCAGCAATGCACGCTGGGGAAAGGGGTGGGAATTACAGTAATGCTCGTTAGTAGTAGTACCACCGATTTAGTGCTAACGTTAGGGCGGGGCGGCAAAAGTCTCGACGAGCGCCCATGATTTTACAAAGCGCCGTTCCAGCAGCCGTGTCGGGACTCGGTGCCCGGTTTTGCCGGCCCGCCGAAAACTGGTTGTATGTACAAACAATTTGTAAACAAGCCTACGACACCATCTACCGTCACAAACCAGCGACACACTGGACGAGCGGGGAGAAAACTCGTCGTAAAGCGGGTCGGAAGAAGCGGCGCCGTGCCGTTATGTCCAAGCCCTCTCTCTGCTCTCTCTCTCTCTTTAAAAATAGTAAGAGCAGTTATGTAACAATGACTCGCATGCCTTGCCTATGTACAGCTAACTGGCCCCCCAAAATCCATTCTACTGCCAAGCAAAAATAAAAACGAAAGATGAAAAAAAAACAAGAAATGCGACGCAACGTGAAACGCACGGCGACGTCGAAATCAAACGCGATCTCAAACAACCGTGCGGCAACTTTTCACTGCGGCCGTCCTGTCTGGGACAATTGATGCTCCCGAAAGCTCACAAAGCCAAACAAAATCTCCCTGCGCCAACTGTACAAGCCGAGGCGACGACGGGGGGCGTCCCCGACCAAGCTTAAGCAGCGCCCAGGATTGGACTGATTCGGGCCTTAGGCAGACTGGCCACTCTGTGCTGCTGCTTCAAAAACTCTCCAAACACCTTACAGATTGCTATTTGATGAAGCCAAACGTAGCAAGAGGCATCCCACTCCACAACTAGGTCCACATGCCGAACATCCTGCCCGCCTCTTTCTGAGAACGACGTTGCCGACATACAACCGATGTCGGCCCGACATTTGCGACTCTCTCCGAGCTGCGCATTGAAGGCCGAACGTACGCCGGCCAGCTGCAGACACAACAACATCTGGTAACAACACTTCCCGCCCCAAAAACCCCCAAGCTGTGATATGTCTTAAAAGAGGAAACACTTCGGAACGGCAAGAGCGGCACAAGCATCGGGATAGACAGGCACAAAGTCGGGAACAAGATGGGGAGAGTGATTAACAAAAAGGGGTGTCGTGGGAGAGGCGGCGGGCCATGCAGAAAAAACTTGCAACGACGCACAGCGCTACGCGGAGTACGCATGCTGTTTGCAGGTTTGTTTTTACCTTTTTTTTGACTAGCTAGCTTCGTTCTTCCGCAGGAGTCCCGCCACCCCCCAGCCCGTCCCAATCGAGAAGAAAAACAAATGCAAGATATGACCCGGGAGATTTTAAGGTGTTCTTCCCCATCTAGTACATGTCTCGTAAATCCCTCTACAAGAGGCGTAACAAATCGGAAGCGAAGACAAACCTTTCCAGACGACGAACCCTCCAAACCAAAGCATACGACGGCACTAGCCGGTCTTAGTCCTGCCTACCCCCTAAATAGACAATTCTCTCTCTGTACACTAGTAGAACTTTCTCCCGAGCGTGCTGCTCAAAAGATCCTTTCCCTGTACATATGTTACACCTCAGACCGCTGCCGCAAGTGCCCCACCCGCCGCCGGTGCCAGCAGCGGGTGGCAAACCGGGCAGACGTTGTGTCGACGACCGCGGGATCTTTCGAAATGAAAACAGCGGGATGCCTTCAATGGCGAAAACGGGGGAGCCTGGGGACGTACCCGGACGAGGGTTTCCCGTAAGTGCGCCAAAGAAACTAAACGCTAGCAAATGTACACTATCATTTCTGCTTGTCTACGACAGAGTTTCAGCCCGTTTCGAAGGTGGCTGCGCTTGCAGCCGCGATTCGACAACGCCGTCGTTCCAAGCGGTGAGAGCGTGACACGCGCGATGCTATTATCAATCTCGTCCGCACAAACTTGCAAAAGGAAAGCGTGTGCAAGGGAAACTTGCTAAACGAGGCTCGTTACGGCGGCGGGGCGGGAAAAGAACATCTAAGACGAGGCGAAGAAATCCTTCCTCCCCCCTCCCCCCGTTCATGAAACCAGACCTTGCCCGAAACCTTAAGCAGAGACTTGCATTTGCAAAGGGCACGAGCACTTTGCAACGTCGACGGCAGAGCGCGACGTAAGAAAGCGGATGAAGACAAAATGGAAGAGAAGCATTACGAATGAGGCCGATGCGTGCGGACGAAAAAGACGACAACACGAAAGAAAAAGTTTGAGACAGCACACTCCAAACACACGCAACTCAACAGCTGTTGGTGACCAACGTAAACATAAAGCGCACCTAAAAAAAGAAAAAGCCATCAAATGTTTTCGGGAAGACCGAGGAAAAAAGAAATTGTGCTAAAACAAGTGCCTAAGTTTGTCTCCCGACAGAAAAAAAAAAAAAGAAAAAAAGAAGACAACGCAACAATGAAAGCGAGCGCCGCCCTCTATTAGGAAGAAGCGGAGTCGGCCATGACCGCGGTAGCAGAAGGTGCGGGCGGCGAGGCGGCAGATGACGATGACGACAACGTGGCCTCGTCTGAGCCGCTCCGCTGGACCTTGGATGGCGCTGGCGATGACGCCGCTGCTTCGCGTTCCACCGGCGACGAACTGGTGGCCTCGTAGTGCCTCTTGCGTGGGTGGGTGGACACCGGGGGAGGGGGCGGGGCGGAAGAGGGAGGCGAGGAGGACGAAGAGTCCGGGGCGGGTGGCGGGGCCAGCGCGGAGGAGGACGGGGCCTGCATGATCACGCTCGTGGGCGGGTTCAGCGGCGGTGGGGACGGGGTACCCCCCAGGTCGCCGCCCCCTCCGGCAGAAGTGGGCGGGAGCAGGGCCTTGGGCTGGTAGAAGAGCTGCGGCGGCTCTGGCTGGTGGGCCCTGGGGTAGCCTCGCTCTGCAGGGAATGCGGGGCACCGGGTAAATGCCACCGGCGACAAGACGCTTCGGAGGCTCCTTCTCCCAGTTCCTACCTGCGACGTTGCGACCGGGACCATCGATGTCCGGCAACGGTTTTGATGGTGTGTGTAAAATGCGCGATGGGAGCACGGAATCGTCTCATCCTTAAATCAACGCCGTCAAAGTTAAGTCTGCCATCCCTATTTTCGTTAATGAAAGTAGAATTTGTCGTACTCCAGACCTCGTAGCGACCGATTGGCCAATCGTGGAATGCTTCCGGTCGTGCTCGTCGCCAAATGGCTGGGAGCCATCGGTACGGCTGTATAAGGGTGGCGATGTGGGTTAGTTGGTTCATACTGACGAAAAGGCAAACAGCGCGCAGAAAACGGGGACTAGAGGAAGAGCATGACTTGTCGTTGCGATCTGTGGTTGGAGCTGTAGGGGGGCATTTGCCATTGCATTGTCATAGTTGTGGGTGCAAACCTATCTTCAGTAAGACTAGTATCATTGGCAAAGGTAGGAAAAGAGTGAATAGAGAAATTTTAGAGGCGCATGCAATCATCAAAGCCGGCGCGAACTGCGTAAGTCAAACGTCACTGGGCCTGAGTAGCAAAGAGATGTTTTTTTTGGACACGTGGTGAATTTGTCATGTGATGTGGGCGGAGTTGCTGTTTTCTTTGTTTTGTTTCCTTGTGATTAAATTTCAGTTGAGAGTCAGCGCTTGTCCTGTCTGCACTTCCTCTAGTCCCCGTTTTCTGCGCGCTGTTTGCCTTTTCGTCAGTACGGCTGTAGTTGGGGACTTGCTAAATCTCGTTGTTTCTCCTCCGAAGAAACAAGGATGTTCCGACGTGGTGCTTAACGTGTTCAGATTTGCAATTTTTCTTTCGTACCCGATCGAAATTTTTATTCTGCACCCCTGAGCACCCACCTTGATCGTGCCGAGGTGAGTCGCTGCGGATGCCGTTGCCATTGCTGCTGCTCAGCACCCCGTTGGACACCATGAGGGGCGGCTGATGGGCCACCAGCACCTTGGGCTTGCTGTTGCTGAATGCCGGCAGCAGCCCCGGCAGGTGGTGGCTGTTGCCTGGAACGCCAAGGGCAGAACGTCGCACAAAAGGTGTCGATGACGGCGTGTGAAAAACAAGACTACACTCATTAACAGGATGAGGTGGAGGGGGTGTCTCCTTTAAAGTTAGCTCCACCTTGAGTCCGGATGCAGCTGAAGCTATGAGCTAAGCAAGTGGTGTCAAAAGTGCACCAACATGGTGTTCATCATGTTTTTGTAAGTGTTCTATCATTGCTGAACTAAACACATGAAGGGAAGCACAGGAATTTGCGCTTTTGACAGTCTGATGATTACATCAGCTTGGAACATCGGCTGCATCCAGACCACGGTGTAAGATATACCGGGTGTTTGATCTGAATTCAAACAGATCTTTTAAAATTGGGGTGAGGGTTGGACGAGTTTTGTTTTCGCCATGTACTTACCGGGATCGGTGGACATTAGATGAGGGGAATCTCTTATTTGACTTTTTAATTATTCGATTTTTGGGGTAGTGTTTCACTCGCAGTACTGCTGGTAAGTACTCTTAGAGGCCAGACCAATTAAAATAACTTGCAAAAAGGTAATGGCTTTTGAAATATTAATCCGTCAACATTCACATTTTTTTCCTTTCAATTCAAAGACTGTTTTCTAACTGCAAAGTCCACCGGTCGTTTTGGAGCACGTCGGGATCAGTAGACCAGATCCGAGACGGAGCACGCGATCCGAACAGAGTTCCTCTGTGTCCCCAGTAGAACATGACCACTCCTCCAAGATCGGCAAATGCCTTCCCGTCATTCACCTTCCCGGGAATTCCCTTCCTGCGGTCCTGGATCTCGAAGCACATGTTTTCGCAATGGTGGCGCTAAGACACGTGTTCAACTCACGAGCGAAGTTAATCGTAATGTGGAAGATGCGTGCCGATAAGCAATGTGCATCAGCGTAGACCGCTTGTCTCTTCATTGGGATGCTCGTAAATGGTGTCAAAGTATGTCTCAAGTTTCGGCCTCTTCCGCGGAGGTCCGAAAAGGCAGTACAATTTATGCGGGACATACAAGATATCCTAGTCATCGCTGCTACTCGAGCCGCTCTGCTGGAGGAGCTGCTCGAGCAACTTGACGACGAACTGTCATCAAGCAGCAGCAGTAGTAAAGTGGGCGCCACTTCGCGAATGGCCATTACGAATTCTTTTGAAGCCAGATGCCCGGCGAGAAAGGAAGTTACGTGTGCGAACCAAGGGCTGGCCAGGTTGGCTTCCAGTCACATTTTCTCGGATTCGGATCGGGAGCTGGAGTGGGAGCTGATCCAAAACGACGAGTAGAACACGTCAGTCTCAATCCCGATTGCCCAGTGAAATAGGCACGCTCCAGGAAAGTGAATTCGGGCACACTCCAAAAAGAACGGTGGAAATTTGCCATAAAAGAGCGTTGCGAGCCCACCCCACAGTAACACTAGGGAGAGTAACACTAGGGAGAGTGACGTAGTCGTTTCAATCATGTCGTCACCATCTCGGCAGTCGCGTCCTCGGTAGGTTCGCCGACAACACAAGTGACAACAAGACAGAAATGACTATGTCACTCTTCCGTGCGTCACTGTGGGCGTGCAGGGCATGCAACACTCTCTTTCAACACACTTTTTAAATCGTGCACACTGAAATTGATCAATTAGTATCTGGAAAAACATTACCTCTTCACATGTTCTTTAAATTAATCTGGCCTCCAACAGTAATTGCTGGCCATACTGAAACTCCAACGTAACTTCTAAAAACAATCATTAAAAAGTTAATTAACGAATTTTAGTTAGTTCGTCAACTTAGCATGAAGATTATCCCCTCATCTAATGCCGGCCGAGCCTGATATATACGAGGCTAAGACAAAACTCGTCTAACCTTCAGACCCCATTTAAAAAAAAATCTGTTCAGATCAAAGTCAAGCACCCTGTACATAATTGTGGACACCACGCGCGTCGCCAGCTGTCAGATAGAGTCCTCTTCTCGCCTCGCTTGCAACCGGGACCACAAGGTGGCTCCTCGATATATTGCTAATGGCAGCCTGTCGCGGTCCCGGTTTCTCACGCCACCGTACGAAAGACGTGTTTGTTTTTGAAGTACAGTACAGACCACTTACAACGTAACCGCTTATAGTGCAGGACCGGGTATAATGCGGCTTTTTTAAACCACCGGTTCACCTCCCATAGAACTCCATATAATTACATACCGCTTAAAACGCAGGCGCGCGAAGGGAAATATCGGTTATACAGTCGAACCTCGATATAACGAACTTCAATGTAACGAAATCCTCGATTTAACGAAGTATTTTATTTTTCATAATTTCTTGCCCATAGACCCCATGTATTTTTAGTCTCTATATAACGAAGTCTATTTTGCTGCTATTTCAATATAACGAAGCGCCATTGCCATAGAAGGCAATAAATAAATAGACTCTAAAAAACAACTTCGCAAAAAAATTGTGGCTAAAAAAAAATTATGCGCAAACGCGAGCGCTTGATAGGTTACTTCACGGGGACAGGCCTTCCAACGTTCCTAGGCTGCCCGACGATGCGGCGCCGGTAGCGCCGGCGAGGCTTGCGGCAAAGCGGATTCCGCGGGGCTGGCCAGAAAATGCCGAGCAAAAAGTTTACACGGCATAACAGCATCACCACTGACATTCACTGATCATCATAGTCCACTGTACCGCGGGTAGCGCGGGAGCCAACTTCATCGGGGGAGCGACGAGCGAGCGACGTGATGGCGCGACCTAAAGTCCCTCAATGTTTTTTCATATCCAGGGACGTTAGAGCGACCGCACGGGCAGTGCCATCTAGGAGAAGACCGAGAAGACAGATTATTGTCTTGCGAGCGTGATGTAAAGCAAAGGCGCAAGCACACTGTGGGCGCAAGCAGCGCAAGGGGGCAAGTAAACTGTGCGGGCAAGAGTGCTGTGTCGGTTGGAAACATTGGCACCACCTAAACTAAACAGCTTTATTTTCAACCGGGCGGTTCACTCACGTGCTTGCTGCCATAAGGAAACGTAAAGTTCTTTCTTCGGATGAGAAAGCAAACGTTTTGGACGCCGTCCTGAAGAAACTGCCGAGATCCCGAGCACTTGGGAAGTGCTCGACGCAATGGACGTACTGAGGATGTACACGGCGTCGCATGGGCAGCAAGATGCCGTGCAAGCGCTCTGGGCGCTCGAACGCCGTATGACGCCGCTGCTACTGTCGGACAAGGCGCAAGCAAAACTCGCGGACTATTTTGCCCCTAAATAAATGCCATTTTCGGTGAGTTTTCATACCCGTAAAATGCTTCGGAAGTTTTTTTGCATGCCAAAGCCAAATTTCAATTTAGCGAAATTTCAATGTAACGAAGTAAATAGCGAATTTTACCGACTTCGTTACATCGAGGTTTAACTGTAGTGTGGTTTCTGGAACAGCCCGCCGACCGACTAGCGCAGCGAGCACGCTTCCCTGTGTGACACTAGATAACGGCGCTAGCCGCAAGCGGCACTCACGGGGGCAAGGATGGCAAGGAGGTTGCTCGAAGAAGCGGGGAGAAGCGAAGACAGAGGCTTCAATTGCCATAACGACGGAGGGACGCACGCACGTGTCGTTCACGGCGCAAGGCATTGGAGCGAGCCCAACCAGCCCAACTTTCGCCCGCTGCGTTGGAAACAATCACAATGACAGACCAATCGCAGGTCGAGGAGAAGAGTTCGCGCGCGTTGCATGCCGGTCGCGGGCCGGCTTCTTTTATCCGCAAACATGGCGTTGGTGGTGATCGTCGACGTCAAAGTAACGTTGGTCGACGTAGACAGCGTGGTGGAAGCTCATCGTTCCGCGTAAAAGCGCTATCCTTGACTGAATTTTCGTTGTGTGTCGCTATGATAACCCAGCACGTACTAGAAGGGAAGATCCACCTACTCGTGCGGCGATGTCGTGGCGGCACTCTCAAGACGGCAGAAGCGCCCGTGTTGTCGTGTTTGTTTACTTCGACTACAGTGGTGCTTTCTAAGCATTTGTGTTTTCGAACATCGCCCGGATTTTTTATTTGGAGCATTTCATGCGTGTGCTCAAGTTGAAAATATTACTGGCACATACCATATAAAGGATGCGAATTTTCACGCGTTTTCATCACTAGAGAAAGGTGATTAGGGTTAGCAATCCTGAACGCTCGCAATGTCCGTCCGCAACCCGAAACGCTGTTAAAAGGCTGTGCCAGGCAAAAGTCGCTCATTTCTTTCAAAATGTGTGACACACTTGAGAGAGAAGTGTACTAGTCTGGTGAAACAAAGACTTTCCTCAAACTAAGCTTTATTTTTCATCGAACACTAAAAATAAATTCTTTTACAAAGGTAAGTTGTCTGATGGCATGTATTTTGGCCTGAAAAATTATGTTTTGGTTATAGCGCGGTACCGCTTATAGTGCGGATTTTCGCCGACTCCCGCGACATACGTTATATGCGGTCTACACTGTAGTTTTCTCGATGCGCCACGTCATCCAGAACTTGGTACTTGCGCCACGCGTGTTTGCTTGGACACTGGTTTGTTGTCAACCTTAGTTTCATGCTTCGACGGCGGCAACAACGGTTTTATCGATGCGCTGAAGTGGAGAGATCTCTGGCGCGGCGTCTAGCCAGTATCCGTCAAGGTCATAGCAGACGCTCCGAGTGGAAACAGCGGCTACATGGTTATGGTGGCCGGCGTGGCATGGAAACAAGAAACTCTTTTTTCTTTTTCTTTCATATTTTTTTTGGTTGCGTCGTCTGGAAGGCAGGGACGCCGTCGGCCTAGGGTACTCGGCTGTGCACCAAGAATACTATTTGGTCGATCGCGTCGCGGCGTTCGCCGTGCTGCGCACCCTCACCTCTACGTATCTTACGCCGTGATCTGGATTTGAGGTGGAACGAAGCGCATGTGCACGACGTCCAGCGGGCGCCATTTGCCTTCTGCCACGCTTTGGTCGTGTGTGCGCACTTGAATCTCGCACTGGGGGCGGGAACACTGAAGAACCTCCGTGCCGTTCTCATCCTGCCAGTCACTATGTGAAGAGCAAGTCGCCTGCTTCTTGCGCACGAGTTGCGGTGACGTCAGAACGACACCAAGCTCCGAATGGCTTTGATCGAAAGGATAGTGCGTAGACCTCAATGCTAGATGCCTTGAGGTCTACCCACTACCCTTCTAATCAAAGCCAACCAGAGCACGGCGTTGTTCTGACGTCACCGCAACCCCTGTGCAAGTAGCAGACAAACTTTAGCTCCGCATAGACATGAAAAACCCAATCAATTGGTTTGATTCTTGAAACTTTAGGTGAGTAGCATGCCAGAGTCGATAGGAATGCGAACGTACCTCAACGGCGGCAAAAGGAAAATATATTTTTGTAAAGTTATGCTTGCTCCCGCTTTTACGCAGAATAAACATGAGCCAGAGACAATCGACGAGCTTTCGCCGCGTATAATTAATGGACTCCACCGAATTAAGGTGATGCCGTACCAAAGTTGGATTTGGAGCTTTTTTATGCGTCAAAGCAACGAAGGTCGTCTGCCACGCCCCGGCGGAGGACCGAGGATTAATTCCAACCACCCGCGGATCTCTCGACGCGCTGCCAACATCTCTGCTACGCGGCGCCCTTTCTCCGTGCCAAGCCTCCGTCGGGTTGGGGGCACCTGGGCCGGGATTTGAACCCTTCACCCGGAGATTCGTAGGCCGGCACCTTGCCCCGGGGTCGTGGCGGCAAACCAAGTAGACGCAAAAAATTTAAGCAAAGAGCGAGAGAAAAGAAAAACAAAAAACAATTGATCGTGCCGACAATGATTGGTAGTGCGGGAGGTGTCCTGCACAAATCGCACTCCGTGTGTGGTTTGTGCTAGATTTTTAGTACCCACTTCTTTTGGTTGTGTCGCCTGGAAGGTGGGGACGCCTTCCAGGTTTGAGGCCCGCTGGGCTCATACTTTACGTAAAACCCCGACGTGCGCGACACTCGTTCGTGACAACTTTCTCGTAGAAAACTACGCATGAAACACGTTCTGCACCGAGACAAAAAAGGGGGCACCCACCGGGGGAGCCTGGGGCAGACTGGCTGGCTTTGATCTCTCTGCCCAGGTAGGCGGTGGAGGGAGGTCCCAGGGAGGGTGGCGGGCCCCCGCCCATGGCCACCAGCATGGAAGGGGGAGGCCCACCCATGGCCCCGTGGTGGGGCCCCTCCTCCATCTCGGGCACAGGGCTGGGCTCCCGCGACAGGGAGTCCGGCGTCACCAGGCCGCTGTGGGTCCCGTGGCTTGGAGACGCCGGCGCGGACCTGCACGCGGGTGTCGGGGAACGTGTTGGAGAGGCGAAGGACCGAGGTTACGGAGTGTGAAACGCGTCTCCGCCTCAACGCGCCCGTGTTTTTGGTGCGACGATAATGATACCCTCTATTTTCGTGTCTCAACGAACGGGCTCAAGGCTCAAGCGCGGAACACTCGCGACTTCTTAGGACCGTGCGCTTTAAAACCTCTAAAAAATATCTCACGACAAGAGAACCCGCTGAAGTCATTCACAAAACACTCAAGTTCCGTATATTTCAAAAAATATATTTTTTTGCTGCTCGTCATGTTATAAACAATTATTTCTCATGAAATATTTGTACACTTGATATTGCAAGTACGGCGGCAAAAACCCTTGCCCTAGCAAAATGCGGTTCCAGGGCCACCTTATAGACGGAGCCGGAGTGTCCTCTTGTCGTAAGAGATCGCAAGCGAGTTAACCCTTTAACCACCAAATAATCTTTGAAAAAAATGTACAAACTTTGCCAAATTTTTTTATTTGCACATATTTTTTAAGTGGTTCTGACTTTGCAATTACATTACTTGATTGGTTTCTGATACGTATTAACAAAAAAATTTTAAAAGAAAATGTTGATTTATATGGAAGCTTTCCCTCGGTGCATGTAACAGTGAGAATAACACATGCTGAAATGCGCAGTATTTATTTGAAAAGACGCACCATAACAAAAGATCAAGTGCCTAGACGTTTCTCCGTAGTAGCACTAACAAAGTTACGTAAGTAATGATTCCTTGCAGAATTATTAGCGCAAGGAACGCCATCATCTCTTCGCGGTCCACCGGTTTCCATCAAGAACCCCGCGCTGGGAAACGCGGAAACGCATAGCAACTTGTCTCGGTCACAATGATGTTGGGAAGGTCCCAATCAAAAAAGAAAAAACCTTGAACCAGCCGAGAATGTCTTTTTCGTCAGTGGGTTGCTGCAGAATCCCAGGCACTGCAGAAAACGGAAACCTCGGAGGCGCGGCTGGCGGGTTTTCAGCGTTTACACATTGCCACACTCGAACACTACCCATCGCGTCGTCTAATTCGTCACTGAGGTCACTGTCATGTCCGACTCACTTTTAGAGACAAATTCGATGTCTTCATCGTCGCTACTGTTCGAACTGCCGCAAGAGAGAGCCCGTTTATGAGGGCCGTCACCGGCATCACTGTTGCAAGGCTAGATACGTACCAAAGGCAAAAACACGCTATATTTGCGCTACCTCTCCTGCCCTCCAGTGTTGAAAATTGAAACTAAAGCTGATGGACGAACCTGTCTCGTGTTTGGCAGTGAAAGCAAACCATCATTTTGGTTGGACGAGTGTGACTCGTCATCGGCGATATTGGTACAACCTTCCATGACGAGTACAGCTCGAGTTGAGCGGTTAAAGGGTTAACTATCCGTAAAAAGTGGTACATTGTCATAAAAATGAAACAAAGAAGAGCAAAGTCATAACCACGCACACACTAGTGGCTCAACTTCGCGTCGAAGAGCGCTCGTGCCACAAAAAAAATGTCTATTCTAGATCGGTCTAGCTAGTTACATTCGAGTTGCATTCCCGTAATTGGCGACGTACGGAGCAAAACCGAGAGATAGAAAGGGCACTGAGGGCGACAACACCGGAGGAGGCACGAAATTAAACGGTGCTTTAAAGCAGCGATGAATCAACAGCTGTAATGACCACCTTATGTAAAAACAATGAATCGAGTAAACGACGTCTATTAAAACCCTTAAAACAAAAGACCCAATTCCAGTTTCTTAAAGGGGCACTGACACCCCAAAGGTCGTATTTATTTTTATTGCCTAAAACGATGCAAGTTGCAGTCATATCTACTAAAAAAAAACCGCATCGCGAAAAAAATTTTTTCCGCGCGCGCGCGCGCCTTTCTATTTTTGGCGTTTGATTTTCCCGCCTCTCGCCTCCTCGCTTCTTTTGATCGGTGACGTCAAAAATCAGGAAATTTAGAAGCTTTGTAGGCGACATCTCTATAACATTTAATAACGGCAATCGTAAAACATGTTTTTTAACGCAATTGCGAACGCACTACGGCCCTTCTTTTTGAAATACCAAAAATCGGGAGTTCGTCCTGGATTTGTATCCTCTAACGGAAAACAGGCGACACCGCTCAAAACCGGTCCGCCGCAACGCCGCCGCGCACTCCTGTCCTCCTCGCTTTGGGTCGCCATGGCAACAGCAGGGAGAGGTGAAAGGAAGTCGACTCTCAGGTCTCCGCGATTTTTGACGTCAAGGCACCGGCGCCGATCGCGCGGGAACTTCGAATTCGGCATTTGGAAATTGTTTTTTTACTTCACAAATACTGAATTCCCAAATTTCAAATTTTGAGGGTAATGTCCCGGCATCGTTTTCAATCGTTTCGGATAATAAAAAAAAATATGATTTTGATGTGTCAGTGCCCCTTTAAGGGGAGACATGGGTCTTTGGAGCCACAAAATCCATAAAAAACGTTTTTGGAAAACGGTGATCTTGAAACCTGCAGCTATTTTTCTTTTGATCTGCCAAGTTTCTTATTTTGAAGATCAATATTTGAGTCATAATATCACTTCATAATACCTATATGGGCTGAAATTCAACCGAAACTGATGCTAAAGCAACACTCTTAAAACAAATTTTGGACTCTTTACAAATTTTTCAGGAGTGTTATCTCATCATTTAGGGCAGACAGACAGATAACTTTTTTAGTATCATGTAGCTAAATGTGCAAAGCGTGCAATGTTGGAAGCAAAATTTTCAATTTAGGTGTAGGAAAATTTTTTAATTCAAATGTTTATTGTTGGTAGCCATACATTGAGCACTGAACTTCAATATGTTGTCAAGTCCTTAATAATAGTTCAATCTAAAAAGTGCTTCCAACTTTGCATTCTTCTTAATTTATATTATATGACCATATGCTAAAACACTCTTCTTTAAAAAGGAAACAAAGTCTGGTTAATTCTAATTATCCCGTTATGTAAACTACTAATTAAAAAAATAACACATTTGAAATCAACTCAAAAGTCTGAACAAGCTTGTGCTGTTTCATTTGGCATGGCCAAAAAAAAAAAAAAAGAGGAAAAAGCTTCAAGACCAGTGTTCCCCCTCAAGTAATCTGTGAGAGCTCTTAACCCCCCCAAAATATGTTGTAGGCATTTCCTACGAACCGTACAAATGCAACATCATACGTCTGTCCTCGTCCCTCCTTTCGCTTAGCTTTCATCATATTAGTGTCTACGTCAACACGTTCGTCCAACTCTGTTCAAAATTGAAGTGCTACCTCGATCTGCCACCCAAACGTTCTATACGCAGCATGCACTAGCGATACGTGCGCAAATCCAAACGATGCAACAGCGTCGCACCACGTGATGTCGCACGACCGTACCGTTGCGGAACCTGGCAGGGCCCGACGCACATTCCAGGGTCTTATGACCACGTCACGTGGCCGTGAAGCCCATAAAAAAGGAAAACTCTGGCATTCTACGTGACAAACCAATGAAGGGCATCTGACATACCCCAGTCAAGGACCGAGGATCAATTTCGACCACCCGGGATTTTTGTACTTGCAACCGAAATCTCGGTTCTCCGCAGCGGGCCTCTGTCAGATTGCGAGCACCTCGGTGCGGAACCGCACCGAGGTGCTCGCAATCTGACAGACTGACAGACGAGGTGACAGAGGCTCGACTGGGGGGTTCGTAGGCTGGCGCTTTGCCTCGGAGCCGTTGAGGCAACCCCTCCGAGAGGAAGGAAAGATAGAGAGAGGGAGAAAGGTCCTGACCTGGAGGAGGCGAAGGGGGTCCGGAAGCAGGGCAGACCCCGCTGCCGCCGCCGCCGGAAGGCCTGCTCCACCAGCTTGCCCTCCGACTGGGGGTCGATGCGCCAGAAGGAGCCCTTGCCGGGCTCCTCCTGGGACCGGGGAACCTTCACAAAGTACCGGTTCAGGCTCAGGTTGTGCCGGATCGAGTTCTGCACACAGGGGGAAAGGAAGCGGAGCCACAAGTCAATTTGGGAACGGCCGGACGACGTGCGCAAGTCCCTTGCTCCAACTCGAGGCCCAAAGCTGTTTCTCGGGGACGAATTCGGCGGCCCTGCTTTAGACACGACGAAACCGCAAAGCGCACAGAAAACCGCTCGGCGTAACGGCTCGCCTCTCGAAGGGCAACTGCTACGATGAGTGAGCGCGGAAAAATTTAGTAAGGCCAAATGCACGCGAGTGCTACGCTGCTTGTTCCAGACCAATCGAAAAACATATTTTGTAACTGTGAATTTTGCCGGATGAATTTCACCACATTACGAACAAAAAGGTACATCACGATTTTCACGAAGCAGATTCCACCATATTTTGTCCAAAAGGTGTCCTGTGAAGTCTGCAAGAAGGATTCTACTATACTGTGGGATGAAAGGTGTCCCAAGAGAGACATATCAGGGCGTGTGCCTGCATTAATGCTTGATGAGCTTATTGGAATAATTCATTTACAGAAAAGCTCGAGGGTCCCCCCAACAAAACGGCCATCACAAACAGCCAAGGGTGCTTGTAGGCTCTAAGAGCGGTAGTTTCTTGACAAGACGAAAAACAAAATACTAAAAGGTACACCGACACCTGCACAGATGCTGATAAAAGGTGTATCAATTCCTACAAAGAAGCACTAACTTTGATGAGGCAACATCAACGATTGTAACTAGAAAAATATCTTGACATAGATTCCTAATGGAACCAGAAAGTAGATCGGCACATACATAGTTTAGCAACAAACGCAGGTAAAACCTGCGTGTGCCTGCACTCCACTGACTCCCAAGCTCACAGGGTGGTGGAAGCTACGTGCTCGTTTGGACAAGACATTCGTTATCTTTCGCCACACGATCCCAATTTCGCCTATACTCACACCGAGGAAGAGGAGTCTGGCGATGAAAGGGAGGCGATTCATTGGTCTGAAGATTGTAGCTTCCACTACACTGTCAGCTTAGCGGTGAATGCAGACATCTGGCTTGGGGGAAAGATTTGATTTGGGAAGTGTGCGCCGCATGAAAGTGTTAGATGTAGGAAAGGGTTCAATGTAGGAAATGTTTTATGTAGGGACCTGTTCAACCTATGGTAGTCTGGGGTTTAGGGAAGTGTGTGACATATGGAGGTGTGTCATGTAGATGTAGGGAACTAGCCAACTTCCGCTCGACATAGGGAGTTTATAGGGAAGTGCGTCGTGTAGACGTGGGAACCAGTGAACTTATTAAAAGAGTGGGATTTACAAGAGTGCTTGACATAGGGATTTTATAGAGAATTGTGCGATTCAGGGCAGTGTTTCGTTCAGATGTAGGAAACTTTGATGAAGAGACTCAAACGTTTTAGGGACCCGTGCAGAGTCCCGCTCAATCTCTCGCGAGAACTTGGGAGATTCGACTGAGGGAGAGAGAGAGAAGCGTATACTGGCCTGCCACCCCTTGTCCGCCGTCCGGTAGTACGGATAGTTCTTGGTGATGTAGGAGTAGATGCCGCTCAGCGTCAGCTGCTTGTCCTGGGCCGACGAGATGGCCTGCACGATCAGCTGGGCGTACGAGTAGGGTGGCTTCTGGTCGCCCTCGGGTCCACTGCGCACACCACGCGCCCCGTCAGACGGAACCAGGCGGAAAGACGCATTGACGTGGTACGGTTGGAGACTACACTACACTCCGTTCAGACCTACCATAAAATTCTGTACAAACGTCCACCCAAAACGAAGAGATAAATGGTGAAAAACATGGGGTTTTTTACCTTTGGGGATGCGACAGCCAAAAACTTTATGTAAATTTGCGTCTCATGGGAACGGATAACACGGAAGGTGCAGGCAGTAGGTTTGGGTTTCACGGTGCCATAAAACAACACTGCCTATAAGCTAAGGCCATAGTGCTCCGAATCGTGACCTCACAATGGCCGGAGAAGGGAGGCCACGAGGAGGACTCGCCTCGTAGGTGCACTAAAGACGCTAGTGATATTGTTCGTTTCGGGCTCCAAGCATCCTAGAAATCCAGAAATTATGCTCGTGCGACGTCTACTTCTCTACTAAAATGTGATCAAAGTTTGTGCCACGCCCCTTTCTGAGCGGAAAAATCTAGAGCACAGAATTTAGCGGAGGTGCCGGCGGCGTGACAACGGGTGCGCGTCAGCCCCAGTCAAAAGCCACCTCTCGCGCCCAGCGTCATGCTGCCGGCGCCTCCGCTGAATTCTGTGCTCCAGATTTTTCCGCTCAGAAAGGGACATGGCACGAACTGATCAGATTTTAGTAGAGAAATAGACGCCGAACGAGCATAATTTTTCGATTTCTAATACCAAGATCCCATAGAATGAGTTATGACTAAGACTAGACAATCTCGAAAACGCCTCTAGTGCACCTTTAAATGATATTATAAGATTGAATCAGCTCGCGATCCTGAGTGACTATACGAGTGTCGCAAGATGATTTGCCGACCCCAAAATGTCATTCGATCGAAATAACATTACTTTTGCCATGTGGCCGGGGTATAATGCAAGAATTTGGTGACTGCAGGTGTTAACATTGCTTACATGACTGTAAGTGACACTTGTCTAGTCGTCTCCACGCTGACCATGTTTACCTGAATCTTAACTGTGACCTGTTTTGCTCTGTCCAATCACTGCTAGTCTCACCATTTTGTCAAAGTATTTCCGTATAAAATATGCATTCCTACAGCAATAATTGCGTGACTCAATATTTTTGACTTAAAATATTCATATTTTTTCTGTAGATGGTCTTATACGCATACCTGTGTCATTTCATATTGATTATTTAGCGGTGTAATATTTTGCCCGTCTGCCCAGTTGCTATGGGCAGCTCTCATTTTAGTTAATAAGACAGGCTTATGTGACTGAAAGCACATTGTTACAACGGTCGATCCACGCGTGTTGCCTTTGCTTCGGCGCTTCGACGTGCGCTTTTGATGGCCTTTAGTTGTGCATCACAAGAAAAGCACTATGGCCTTAGTTTCTAGGAGGTGTTGAAAATAAACACATGGGAACCTGGTACAAATTTGCGTGTCATGAGAACCGATATGTGCACGCAGATCGTGGACAGGAACCTGCTACGAATTCCCTTGTCACACGTACCAAAACTGTAGATTGTGCGGTTCATGTGATTCTTGCTAGACAATGCGTGATGTCCGACAGAAATCAAGAGTGTGCGTGGTCTCTCGGGGGAGGGCGTCCTTAAGGGATTCTATGGTAAGCTGACAGTGCGGTGGAAGCTAGATGCTCGCTGAACCAATCAACTGCCTTCTTTTTATCACCTGACCCTGCTCTCTGCACTCAAGTATGTGCGGGGAGCGTAATCGCGTGGCATAAGGTCGATGCGTGAATGGTCCACAGGCATGCAGCTTCCACTGCTCTGTTGGCTTAGGGGTGAACGGAGTATAGTTGGCTACGGCGACGTCCAACACTTATTTTTAATCTTAAGGCTGGTTCATGAGTTACGAGGAAATAGAGTATGACTCTCTCTTCATACGCAACCGTATCAACGGCAGTTCGATCGGGGATCTCAAGTTGAATGCGGACGTCCAAGTGCCCGTAGACTATCACTGTAAAAATGGTCCAATCTGACCGTTACTAGTCACATTAGGGGACTTGTAATTGTAGTAGTGACGTAATTGTAGCAGTGATTGTAGCAGTGACAAACTGCTAGCTTATGTCTATTTCACAAGTTTTTCTATTCTCCGCTCCATCACACGCCCTACATCGTACCCCACGCCCGCATCTCTCTCCGAACAGGTCACCATTGCAGGTCACCCGTCACCGCACTCGAACTGCCACTTTTTTCAATTCCTTCTTCCCCCGTACTGCATCAGACTGGAACGGCCTTCCCGGCGATGTTGCTACGATCACCTGCCCATTAAGGTTTGCTGAAGCTGTGTCAACCATCAATCCAGCGTAACAACCTATTGTTCAAGTTATTGTTTTTTTATATTCTCCCACCCCTTATGTAATACCCCTTTTGAAGGGGTCTTTAAGGAAATAAATTGAAGTGAAGTTAATAGCCCTAAGGACCAATCAAATACTTGTCAAAGGAAAACCGACAACTGCTGTATTTCTTGATGGTCACAAGTGGAAGACATTAGTTAGAAGAGGAAGACAAAAGGCTTAACATTTACCTATTTCTGTTTTGACAAAAGAGGAGTGTAATCAAAGGACTACAGATAGAGCCAAGTGTCAAACCTTTCAAATTTTTTTTTAAATGGTTCCGATATCAAAGGAACAAGGGAATTTCCAGATCCAATTATTCTAAGTATAACTTTAAACAAATTTTGATTTTGCTATTTGTACGGACAAGCACCGAGACGCCCGCAAAAGAAGCGCGGCACTCCACAAAGAGCCCGACAAAGTGCCCAGCGGGGCCAACCCACCCGACTGTGCCTTGACTGTTCGAGTGAGGCGGGGCTCCCGGGGCCCCTCCCCCGAGGGCGTGTCCCATGCCAGGCCCCGCCTCTTCGTGCCGCTCCACGGCCTCCGCAGCCATCTGCAGGTCTGAGGCTATGTTGCGGCGGTGGTGGCTGCCCGCACGGGGGCTCGCCGGGCAGGAGTTGGCCGCACTGCGCACACGGGACACACCCGGGGATCGCACTCTGGGCATTTACAGGGTGCTCTCAGAGCGCTCTCGGGGTGCCTTCAGAGCGCTCTCGAGACACTCGTGGGGTTGTTTTCAGAGACCTCTCAGGTCACCCTCGGGGCACGTACCCTCGAGTCTGTGCCCCCAATGGCTGAACCTCGAACCACTAAACAGGCTGGGCCACAGTTTTCAAATTACATGGTTGAGCTCCGAAAAAGGTTTCCCTAGGGACAGAGTAAAGATCCAGACGCGTGCTGCCGATGCTGCGAGTCAACCAATCAGATCGCTCGTAGAACCTACAGGATGGAGGTGGGCCCGGAGATGCCAGAGTCACTGGATGAGACTATTCTTTCATAAGACCCCACGGTCCCATCGAAAAGACAGACTATTGAAAACTCCATTTATACTTGGGAGCCAAGGGTTGTGTTATTTCAAGATAACTAAAATGCAAAAAAAAAATAAAAAAGAGAAAGAGTGTTTAGCATCTGCTCAGTACAAAGGCCGAAGTGGGCCAAGCTCGCATCCTCTGATGACTACCCTCAACAAAAATCTGGCTTGTCGTGTCCCGCCAACGTTACTACGTTTATGGTTAACTCTCTCTATGCTACACTGTGCCCGTGCCACCCCGCCCTATCGAGGAAGACAACGTAAAGGATAGAGCTCACAGGCATTATGATGGGTAAACACTAAACACTGGGGAAAACTAGCTGGGGTAAACAAATTCGATCTCGTCGCGAATACTTGTTTTCACCTCAAGAACCGTAGTTCGAAAGGTTAGCCTCCTCACGAAGCATCGCTAAAGTCCCCATTTATGTGATGAATTAAGATGTGCAGGTAATGTGAGTAATCTATCGTTTTGACAAAATGTTCACATTTCAAATAGAAAAAAAACACTCTTTTTCTAAAAATAGAACTTTAGCTTGCACGAACTAAGCATAAAAGGTGTTCCTTTCTTTCTTCTGTGATACAAGTATAAGAGCAAAACATATTTTTCACCTAGAACAAACCAATCTGGCCAGGAAAGCAGCCTAACTGGCATCACTAAACTTAACCTGCCAAACAGAGCAAAAAAAAAAAAAATCTATATCAACAAAGTTTTAATAAAAGCTATAGCATAACCAGGAGAGACAAACCCTAGCATGACCTACAGATCCAAACCCAACCTAAAATTGTGTAGAAACCTAAAAATGCTCGACCTGATTCCAATCACTTTTTGACGTAAACCGCACCATACTCGTGCACATCCTAGGCCTAACGTTCCAAAAGCCCATGAAAACGAGCACCACCTTCATTTTGCCCCTTTGGATTGGATCAAGTGTCACGGCATTACAATAATCGCATTATGTTGATAGTTCGAGGTCAACTACACATCAATGTCACAAATTCCAATTTTGACTACCAAAAAGCAGCAAACAAGCTCTAAATCCAGGTATGCACACCAGAGATCTCTACATTAAGACGGCGTCTACTGCACCAAATAAGATGTTGTACAAGAAAACCTGGAGCACTCTTGGTTTAAAGGACACATGGCAAAGGAAAAAAAAACATTTCTTTTTAAACAGCCTGGATGGGAAAAGGAAGTCATAAAACGAATTTACAACCAACAAGAAAAATATTTACATCTATATTTATGGCGCGAAACAAATTTGTAGTTGGGATCCGCAGAAAAGTGCCCGCTATTTATCGCGTGACTGGCCGCTATTTATCACGTGGTGCTTGCACTCTTTTGCAAGCTTCCTACGGCCTCTAAAAGTTACTTTTTTTATCTTTGTTCGAAGTGCATCAAAAAACAAAGATTAATAAGTAACCCTTAGAGCCTAAAAGAAGCTCCTGAAAGAGTGCAAGCACCAACATGTGATAGACCTGGCGCCGGTCAGAAATCGACGGTGGCGTGGAGTAGAGAAACACGTTGCACTGGCGGCGCACCACGTTCAGCGTGCGGCGGTGGCGGCGTAGCTTTGAGACGGCTCCCGCGGGCACAAACTAAAAATTTGTTTTGGGCTGTAAATAAAGCTCTAAAAATTTTGTCTCTTTGTTGTAACTTTGTTTAATGACTTCTTTTTTTATCTAGGTTGTTTAAAACAGATGTTTTTTTCCTTTGCATGTGTCTTTTAACATGGCCTAAATTTGACATTTATTGTGACTTAAGTATGCATGTTGCGTTTTGCCAACAAGCCTCAAAAGGCTCGTGTGCAGCCATTTCTTTTTCTTACGACGCACGAATGAGACAAAAACTAAACTTTTCTGCACAAAGTAAGGTTCGGGTGACCTCGAAGTATCAGCAACGGTTTCTAGGTACTCATACTTTAACCAGTCTGGTTTTCTGGTAACCCCGGCACAAAACTGGCTGGATTTTAACAGAAACAACCACACTCCATTAACAATACATAGGCTATTCAATATGCATTGTTTGCCGACGTTCTTAAAAAGGGCACTAAACCGCTGTTTGCGATAGTCTACTTATGGCCATAACTCGACCTATGGGATCAAAGCATTGAAAAAGTTAAAAACAACACAAAAAACATTACATTTAGGAGTGGCCAATATTTCTATTAAAATCGGTATCAAAGATAGATTACCTCGAAACTATTGCTGACACCAGAGGGTGCTGTCGCAAGAGGAGAAGCTCTGCTTCTCGTCTGGCGGTGGCAATCCATCTTTGGTACCAATTTTAACAAAGTAATTGGCCATGCACGGATGTAATGTTCTGTTTTTTTCCGATGCTTAGAGCCCGTAGATTGAGTTACGACCATAAATAGAGTATTGCAGGAAGTGTTTCAGAGCCCCTTTAACAGAAATGCGAAAGGCACACCGAAGCTCCAATCACACAGTGGCGCGCGACAGCGCTTGACCACACTCTGAGGGCTTTTGTCATGCCACGACGACGAGTCACCAAGACGTCCGCGCTTTTCTAGAAGTGTGGCAACTTAATTCAAGGAATAGCTATGCATGCAACACACAAAGAAAGTGCATTCAGAGCAGCTCCGCTTTGCCGACACTAAAGGCTGGTGCACGCACTTGCGACCGCTTACAACCGCGCACCTCAAAACTTCTTCAGATCTCTTACGACGAGGGAGCACATTGGCGCCACCTGTTGGGTAGCTGTGGAACACTTCGGAATTCCACACATTTACTGTTTTTTCCGTGCGTCATTCTTCTTTGACTCAAAAAAAAACTTTTGACAATATTATAAACAAACATTTCTCATAGATGATAGGCAGATCTCGCAAGTACCGCAAAACCTTCGCTCTAGTGAAATGCAGTCCCAGGGTCACCTCGCAATAGCGCCAGCGTGCTGTCTCGTCCTAAGACATTGCGAGAGCTCGGTCCTAAGCAAACGCAAGTATGTGGGTGGGCCTTAATATGTTGTGCACACATTGAAACTAAAACTTCCTCTCATCCCTCTCTCCCAGAGAACCGCAAACGAGCGAGTAAACCTGCACGGAAAGTTCCTGCAAGGTCCCCGAGTTAGCGAGAAACTGCCGAGAGTCGCTCCTTTGGATTAGGGGTGCCGACCCCTCGGCCAATAGGGCGGCCTAGTTGCCTTCGGCCCTGCCCACCTTAGGGTTCCGGTGGGCGATGGGATGGGGCTAGTGAAGTTGGACTCGGGCTCCGGGATGTTGATCTTGAGGGGCGCCAGGGGCCTAGGCAGGTGCGGCGGCACCTGGGGGCGGAGCCTGGGGGAGGCCAGTCCCAGGGGGGAGGCGGCCCCCAGAGACCCTGCCTCTAAGCGGGGAGGGGGAGGGCCCCCACCCAGCCCCGGCGGGCCCGCCTCGTCCACCAGCGACTGGAACATGATCTTGATGTTGGTGCTGGGAAACCGGAAGACGCACCTGTGACAAAAAGAAAGAGGGGCCGTTTGGTTCTGGCCGGAGTCCGAATGTTCACCTGCAGCCGGAGTACGGCCGTTCTACTTTTGCTGGAGTCGGGAAGGGCAGCTCTTAATGACTGAATGTCATCTTGGGGAAACCTGTCATGAATTCGGTTGTCTCAAAGGTGCATATTGTGTCTGCACCCATTCCTGGTAAAGAAAATACAAAAACACACACACACTACTTTTGTGTCTTAATTAAAAGCGCAATTTGTCGTGCCGAATGAACTACCGCAAAATCCCGTAAGGACGCCCACCCTAAATGAAGAGAGAAATTGGGAAAAAACATGGGGTGGGTTATCTTTGAAAATGCGACAGCGAAATTTTGTAAAAAAGAAAGGCGATACGACGCTGGGCTATCCGCTGCCAACCACATAAAACAGAACTGATACCGCGGATTGAGGACACGGCAAATTTGCGTTTTACGATGCGATAAACACGCGGTAATTTGCTACGACATCCTGTGTCATTAGTAAAAGAGGTTGCAGACGCAGCAGATCCGCGTTTGCACGATTCTAACGCACAGGCAGATTTAGCTTTCAGCTAGCCATCCAGAATGTAAATTGTGGCCGATTCTACCGCACACTTAAAATAATGAAGACTGAACACATAATTCATAGAACGCACTTTATGAAATGAACACCGACACAAATATAAATGGCGTGCACTAGTTGCTGTTGTCGGAGGCCACAATGGTTCTTCGCTGTCCACAGAGGTGATCCCTGCTTTAATCTAAGGCATTTTAAGCATTTTAAGTGCCACGCTTCTTGCGCATGTACGAGTGAGCGACCGTTTCCTTTGGGAGGGTCGTCTTCCAAACAACACTTCGCAATCTTGTCGGGTCGCTGGGATTGCGAGGCCACGCAGTGCTGCTCCGTTGTTATCTTTTCCCCCGGCGTGACGGCCTTTCGTTTAAATAAAACCTCCCAGTTTATCTTTTTTTTTTTTGTAACAGCAGGCACGAGTTTGTAGATGGGAGAAAATGCGCGCGATACCAATATTAAAATGGCGAATGTAAACAAACGGTTACGTTACAATGGTGATGGGGCTAGCCACCTTATTCCGAGTATTGTGTTTTTCCCAAGTTTCGATTTTTGGTTACGCACAAGCAATTTTGGGCACAGATTTTGGCGAAAAAAAGCGTACCTTTGAATCTCGCAAACACAGGTCACGCAATAATTTGCAGTGAACTCGCATGTTATGGGAACCGATGCCGCAAATCACGGATGCAGCAGATCTGCATTTCACGGTGCAACAAACGTTCGGGACAACTCGTGTGTCACGGGAACCGATATCGCGTGCGCAGAGCACGGACAAAAATGTGTAAGCCCGTTAGAAACTCCCTTGTCAGACGTACCGGTACCGCAGATCGCGCAGTTGATGTGATTCCCGTCAAACATCACGTGATGTCCAACGGGAATAAAGGATGGGCGATATTTAAAAATTTTTAAGTTTCAGATATTTAGCCAGAAAAACGGGATGGGCGATCTCATGGGAGAGGGTGCCCTTATGGGATTTTACGGTAGTTACTTCCGGAGAGTAACTGTAGCTAGATACATTTGTGAGACAAACTGTATATTGAAGTAGAGGTCTGCATGGATCACGGGCCGGGCTAGGGCTCCACGGCTATATTCATGAAGGGCCCGGCACGGACCTTGCATTCAAGTCTACAAGGTAGGCCGAAGCGGGCTAAACCGGCCATTGCTTTTTTTTTTTCTTTTTTTAGCAGCAATGTTTTTGGAAGCTTGTTCAAGAGAGGTACAAATGCTGAAAGCTTGTGTGTGTTGAACATGATTGTAAACCTGAGACTGGGGCAGAAAAGAGAACACAACAGAAGGTAGAAAAAAAGGAGGCAACGTCTCAATTGAGACGTTGCCTCCTCTTTTTCTACCTTCTGTTGTGTTCTCTTTTCTGCCCCAGTCTCAGGTTTACAATCATGTTCAACTTACACCAGCTCGCCTGCACTCTGACTATTTTTTCCTTGTGTGTGTGAATGCTCTGTCAAAACACCAGTATCGCGACTTTCACTTTCGTCGCTTGCGGTGCCGCGGTCGTACAGTCGCTTCTCCTTGTCAACACGCACACATACGTGCCTACACAATGTGCACCCTCGCAGGCGTACACCATCTGTGCATACGAGTGCGTGCATCCACAATACAGGTGAAGAGGTCCCCCTCAAGGGTGCTTTTCCTAAACAATTTCTCGCAGAGCACCTCAAGAGACGGCGGTATTTTTTTATAATTTATTTTCTTTACGGTTGTTCTACACAACGGGAGTGGGCAATTTAGAACTTTGCCAGTCTTCTGTTCGAAACTTTCGTGATGTTCCCCCTCCTTCGCAACTTTGGCACATGGTTGTCTTAACTGTTGCCATAGCCTCCTCTATACTCAGAAAGCCTGGCAGTTTGACGACGGAGCCATAGAGTGCCTGGTCGCAGATTTAGAGCGCGAGGATCTGGTACATCATAGAGCCATTTCTTGGGAACCTGGACAACAGCGCACAGCTTTTGCAGTGGCAAGGACCCGAAACACACTTGTTCGCTTGAGAGAAGTCTGTTTCGGCGTCTCGCTGCAATGGGCACCAATCACAGGGCTCTCCTTTCATCCTTTGTCTGCCGCTCCACCTTTTCTATTTCGGCGGCCGCTTCTCGTGGCGATCTGCCAGGCCTTGCCAATATATAGAAGGCTATGCTGTCGCTTGCCATTTTTATTGTTCAGTTCTTTTCAATAAACGTGCCTGCTCACAAAAGGAACAACGATGGGAGGAATTTTTTTTAACGAGCTGTTTTTTAACAAGCTGTTTGCTGCTAATATTAGCAGCAAAAAAATAACATAGAAGAGAGATGCTTGCTTTAGTGACTATGAAGCACCATAGTCAACATGTGTAACAGTAGCAAGTGAGCTGCCATGCCGCGCAATTTGTGAGCTATTCACACTGGGCAAAAATAGAGCGGGCCTCAGCGGGTAAGTGAATATTAGCGTCGGGCTGGGCCGGGCTGGACCGGGTGCCGAAAATGGCTAGCGGGCCGCGGGCAAGCCTGGGCTTAAAGGGGCGGTGCAACGATTTCCGGACTTCGGTCAAAGATTTCTGGAAGTTGCCCTCTGACACTTCTGAAGTAAAGAACAGAGAACCGATTTCCCCTGCGTGTCCTAGTTGTTGCATAAAAAAAACATGAACATTGGCATTTCGGGCACCCCTCAACTCACTCCCAGCCTTCAGGGTCACACCTGGACCCCCTCCTAGTGACGTCATTCGGAGTGCCGTGTAGGTTCCCGTGTGCTATCACGGAGGACGCTTCCTCTCCCTCTCTCTGCTGACATTAGCGGGCACTATGCTGCAGCTTAGAGCCGCGCAAGGCCACGTAATCTTTTCGCCGTAGTTCCTTCGGCTGCCACTTGGGGCTGCAGGTGGGGGAAAAAGCTCGACTTTTGCTTTGCGATTATGCAGCGGAATCGCAACATTTTTAATGAAGGAAGTGTTTTCTCTATCCTCCGGGACACGATAAACAACATAAAAATGACGAGATGCAAATTCTTTTAATCATAAAATCATTGCACCGCCCCTTTAAGAGACAGCGGGCCGGGGCGGTCCGGGGTCCTAAATATCGGCCCAGGCAGACCTCTAAGTTGAAGCTGTACAAGTTAAACCTAAGCTCGTAATAGATAGCTCACAGGACCTCTCTCTGTCATTTTGAAAATCGTCACAGCCCGGCACTGCGACAAAAATTGGCAAGCATCTCCAGGGACCACACACAAGTCCTTCACTCAGCACATTGAACACGACATGGCAGTGTTCTTCGCTGTGCACTACTGGTATAAACACAGAAAGGAAAAGAGAAACAAACAACACCCGGAGGCCAAGCGAATGCTTCCCCCCCAACCTTCGTGCAAATTGCCGATACCAAATAAAGTTTCTGAGTTATCAAAAGGGTGATTGGAAATGGTAGAGTGCTCAGCACTTCCAAATAAAAGTTTCTGTATCCCTCATCAGGTAAAGCAGACCTCCCCGTTGAGGCCCGCCTTTCCCCACAACTGCAGATGTCACATTAATTTTTTTAGAGCGCAGCTCTTAGGCGCCCGTTTCCGGCTTGAGCGGCGTCGGCGTTAACTAAGGTCACCCCAAGGTCACCTCAAGGTCACGTGACTCCCCCAAAGGCAACCCCCCCAAGGTCAAGTGGCCCTCCTACCCGAGGTAACGTGACCCCCCCTCCCCCCGAAGTCATGTGACACCCCCCCGAGGTCACGTGACCCCCTCCCCCGGAGGCCAGGTGACCCCCCCGGAGCATATTAAAGAATGAGGGGGGAGGAGGAGAAGGAGGAGGAGGGGTCTACCCTCCCCTCAGTACCCTTCAATGCTCCTCCTCAAGAGCTGCGCTCCAATTCGGCGTTACAGGGAGTTGTAAACGGCTTTCATTTTTAGAGCGCAGCTCTTAGGGGCCCATTTCCAGCCTGAGCGGCGTCGGCGTAACCGCGCCCCTCCCCCTCCTCCTCCTCCCCCCTCCTCCTCGCCCCCAAGGTCATGTGACCCCTCCCCCCGCCGGTCACGTGACGCCCCGCCCAAGGTCATGTGACCCGCTCCCCCCGAGGTCACGTGACCCCCGGACCTCTCCCCCTCCTTCTCCTCCTCCTCCCCTCATTGTCTAATATGGTCCGGGGGGGTCACGTGACACGTGGCCTCGGGAGGGTATTTCTATATTTCAGAGCACACCTCTTACGCGACCGTTTCCCGCTTGAGCGGCAAGGAGGAAAGCAGTACGAAGGTGGCGGAGGAGGGGGAGGAGAGACGAGGAGGCGGAGGCGAGGGGAGGGGAGGAGCTCGAAGGACGAGGAGGCGGTAAAGGAGAGGGAGGGGGTGGAGGAGGAGGAGGAGGAGGGGAGGAGGACTAGCAGGCATGATCACGAGGCAGGAGGAGGAATACACCCTCCCCTCAGTACCCTTCCCTCCTCCTCCTCAAGAGCAGCG